CTTTTCTGGGAATCCCCGACTTGACAGATGAGGTTGCTCGAAATGAGGAGTCAATATCGTGGACTGTCATAGAACTAGCAAACGATGGAAACGCCATGGTCCGCAAAGAACTGCTGGTATATTTCTCTAAGTTTATACATCGATATGAGAGTAAGTTCTGGGTAGTGGCATTTGAACAGCTGCAGGAGGAACGAGAGTATAGACAATCTCCCCCTCTTGACGATGGGAATGATCACAAAATGGGATTGCACTATGCTCGTATGGATAACAGAAATAAGGATGGTACCATCAAAGCCACAGCTCAGGGCTTGTCTCACAATTCCATTTTCGCTGTGGTTTGGAAACACGTTCTGATAATGGCAATTGATCCACATCCCGAAGTTCAGCGTAATGCGACCATTATTGTGGATGCTCTCCATACATCACTCCTTCGCTCACCAGTTGGGGCCGCAGCGCGTAAACTATTTGATGACATAAGTCGCATTTCAGCGAAACCAAAGGCATCGAAATCACATGCATCGGAGACAAGACCCAGTACACCAACGCGACAAGATACCTTGTCAGGCACACAGTCTAGTCAGCAAGGCTTACTTAAAAGAACAGCTAGTTACCTGTTTACTCTACCTTTCGGTGGTTCCACTGGTGAAGTAACACCACCTGACTCAACCGGAAGATCTGGTTTGAAGTCGCCTGGCCTGAATCGGAACTCTTTGCCACTGCGATCACGTCTTCCGCCAGACTTTAACTCCCCACCGGAGCAGAATGATATCGCATCGACCCCAGGCACATATCATGCAGCAAATGAGCCAACATCAGGCGGCTTTCAACCTCGAAACCTGTCGGAACCATGTACCATACCGTTGGAAAGCACTTTCCTGGAATGGTCGATTGAATATTTCCGCGAGCCCCAGATGAAACCAAACGAAGCTGAAGAGCCCGGTAGTACTGATTACAATGAACGGCTTTGGCGACGATCGAGGAACGAAGCAATTCTACGCGATACTCAACCGCAGAAAGAAATTGCCGGTAATGGCAAATGGACGCATGCTACTGGGTTTTTCAATAACTCTAGCCAGCCGACAAAAATGACCCTCCATCAATTTGAAGATCATCTTGCTGTTTCTGATGATCGCGACACGATTTGTGTTTGGGATTGGAAGAAGCAAGATCGCCTTAGTCGATTTTCAAATGGAAACCCGGAAGGTTCCAGAATTAGTGATGTCCAATTTATTAATGAGGACGATCAAGCATTCTTGTTAACCGGGTCTTCTGATGGGGTTATTCGCATTTATAGGAATTATGACTCCGACAAAAAGATTGAAGTTGCTTCGGCATGGAGAGCTTTGACGCATCTTGTCCCAAGTAACGTCAATTCTGGAATGGTATTTGACTGGCAACAAGTTACTGGAAAACTCCTGGTAGCTGGTGATGTAAAGGTGATCAGAGTGTGGGCTGCGGCGCCTGAGCTTTGTGTTGTGGATATTAATGCTCGGTCCGGTTCTTGTGTCACGTCCTTGACTTCTGATCAAATGACAGGTAATGTTTTCGTGGCAGGTTTTGGTGATGGAGCTATACGAGTATTTGACGCTAGAAACAAGCCTCAAGAAGCTATGGTTAAGAAATGGAAAGATGAATCTGACAGGGTATGGATCAAGAGTGTGCATATGCAACGAGGTGGTCAAAGAGAGCTTCTCTCCGCTAGTCGCAATGGTAAAGTTAAACTTTGGGACATTCGAATGGACAAACCACTACGAGTCATCCAAGCTACAAAGGATACTCTACGTACTGCTAGCACCCACGAACATCTTCCAGTATTTGCTGTGTAAGTTTATTTCCTTTCTGTTTCCTTGAATAGGACTAATATTCTCTATAGTGGCACTGGAAACCATACAGTCAAGGTTTTCAATTTTGATGGCAGAGAACTCTCAAGAGTTGAGCCATACTCGAGCTTCTTACATCAAGCTCGTCAATCACCTATTTCAGCTACGGCATTCCATCCGCATCGGATGATGTTAGCTTGTGCCGCGAGGGGCGATAATCATATAAATCTGTTCTCATGTGCGGAGCGGAAAGTGCCATCAATAGAGTATTGATTCGATAGTCAAGGTAGAACATGTTCTTTCAAGATTCGCTTAATGAGGTAATAGGCTAGAGCGAGTCTTGATCAATTATCATATTGTACGGTGTATCGGGAGTTGGGGGTAAACAACTTAAATGCATAATAGCTTTGCATAAATTCATTGGGCAAGTAGGATTTTGAGGGTGTCATACTTCCATCGGAAGTTTTGAGGGTTGGTTGATATTTTTCCGGGCGTTCGGAGGCTATATCATGGATTGGTTTGAAATTAATTGGCATCCATGTGCCCGCATGGTTTGGGTTTTTTGGCTTGGGTTTGGTATTCACTTGCATTTACCTAGCTAGATTGACATTGGCTAGATTGGAGATTTGAAGAAAGTGCAATGGAAGAAGGCAAGGAGAGAATTATTCTGACCTTGACTTCTTTTTGATGATGCCGGTGGTAATGATTAATAGTGGACGTTTGCTGTTTGTATGTATGCACGTATGTATGTAGAACTTCGGGGGCTAGTTGTCAATTTACATATTAGGTCAATTTTTGTGGTTGAGTTAAGGGGATGAATCAGAGGTGCGATGTGATGTGATGTGATTTGGGGGGCTTTGCGGCGTAGTGAGTACATTGTGTTTTGTATCTGAGTTTATGTTGAGGTTATGGATTGATTGAAGATTGGATAGTTGAGTACCTAGCTGTTGCTAGATGGAATCTTTGATTCGTTTGTGAAGATGTTGAGATGTTGTGTTTTGGTAGGTGATTGGGTTATTGTCGGTGGGAGGGAGAGGATATAGACATATGGTGAAATTTGGAGAAGTTATGGAGGGAGGATGTATAGATGTTTAGGAGTTGGAATGGACGATTTCTAGGAGGAGGGTTGTTAGTGTGAGGGTTTGGTGTTGATATTGCTTGTTGAGCGGGTGGGTTGGGGGGAGGGGGGGAGGCGAGTGAAGTAAGATGTGAGAGAGGAGGGGGGTAAGAGAGGTGATGGAGGAGATTGAGGAATTGGGCTTGATAGGAAATGTGGAAGGAGAAGATTATAAATATGGTGGTTATGTTAGGTTGGATGAGTAGGTAGATATCTAAATCTTTAGGTACATCTAATCCTCGATTCATTCTGTTTTCCTCAAAGTCTGTCGTCGTCTGATTGATGGTTTGATTTGATTTGTGACGCATAATTTCATCGTGGTTGAGGTATTGAATCGACATTCCGAAACAAAGTTTGGAATCCAGTTCTGACAGTATAGTAGACTGTCTGTTCCTGCGATTTGAGTACTGATCATCAGGGTACGAACATACGCTCAATACAGTAGGGGAATGGATGGGATTTATTTTTATGTTTCTCTCCTAGGAAATATCCCACAGTAGATAGTGCAGAATAGCAAATCGTAATATGTTGAACGTGATAAAACTTCTCATTTTCTTGATCGGGATTCGGTTGTGGTTTGAACAGTGGTGAATGATCATAAGTTACTTGTCTACCTACCTACCTAGGTACTGTCATGATCTGCGAGAGCGCTAGCCGCGTAGCAAGATCTATATAAGTATTCTACTCTTTTCATATTCCTTGACTTTCTGGATAGAACACACACAATGTCCTGTGTGTGATCCGCACGCAGTCGGAAGCTCAGAAAGCCCGTTCCGTCCAACCCCTCGCCAGCACCTCTTCAATTTCGTGACTTTTAATCGCGTAACCCTTGATTTTGTAATCAAATATTTACTCAATCAAAATCACTATAGTGCATAGTCAAACTGCCTGATCTTGGGTCGTTGCACATGATTTTGAACCCAGTTAAATTGGCGATGGTTGTGAACCGGAACTTAAAATGCTTTCGCTGCTACTTTTGTTACTTCTTACTAACACAGCGGTAAGTACATTGACAATTGGAGCCTACAAATTGGGCAGTACATTGTCTTTCATCTACTTGGATTATCCAAACGGTTCTAATCTCCTTGATGATCAAGTCTAGGTAGACTTTCCAGGATGCAGCTGGTGTGCATAGGTAGGTACCTAATGCCTATTCTCTCTCGCCAAATTGGAGTGGATTAGCCAAAATATCTATCTGTATATGGTGGATATCAGCGCTAGAAAAAGATACCTAGACTTCGAGAGATTCACTTTTCTAGGTTTGATGATACGTTTGGAATCTATTCAACCGTATCAATATCAAAAGTCACTTCAAGGAATGGATACGGTGTTCACCGTAGACGAGATGTCTCGATAGGGTGTGGGTTATTTATAAGCATGGTGTTGTTCGCGCTATTGAGCGAAATAAGAAACATCAAAGTTGATTCGGTTCTGACCGTAACAGAGATATGCTACTCGGAAGACTGTGCTGATATAAGCATGGTGTTGTTCGCAATATTGAGCGAGAGGAAAAACATTGCATGGTTAATACGGTCCTGACTGTAGCAGAGATATATTCATGAGAATACGGTGCTAATGCAAGCATATGCTTCGCGACTTTGAGAAACATTGAATAGTTGATACGGTCTTCACCGTAGCAAACATATCAGCACTGTGCTATATAAACCAGCTGTGCCTCCCAGCCTGGAGAGACAAAAAAAGATCACAATTCGTTGATACAGTTCTCACTTCAGCCAAGATATTGCAGCAAAAATATCTTGCCGATACAAGCACATTGCCATACCAGCGCCGTAGACATATACGCTCGCGGGAATTGATAAGCAAATCATACACTAGCACCTGTATTTGCTGGCCTCTTTTCCTATATTAAGGCCTTCCCCCCCGTCTAAAATTTGCTTTCTCGTTCCTTGGGTTCTTGTCAAAACAAATCTTCAAATCACAAAGTTCCTCATCGACCCAACTCTCGATAACAACTTACACTCACAACTTCTTCACGAACAATCACGAACAACTGCAATCAAATCCAAAACTTTCCATCAACTGCAGCTTCGACTCTTCTGAACATGACCAGTAACATGATGGATCTGCGCGGTTGGATCGCAAAATGGGGCCAACCTAGTAGAACTAGCAATGTTGGACACGATTTTGAACAGACTCTCGAACAGAAAAAGAGCAGGGAGCAATATGTTGCGCACCTTCTCGCTTCAAAACAAATCGAAGCTCCTAAACAACCCGAAGCATCCAAGCGAGATGAAATCCTACAACTCAAATCTCTCTTGCCATTGCATCGCAACCCTGCTCAACACTTCGAGAGTCTTTCGGTCGTCCTCATGTTCCGCACTCCTTTCTCCAAGCTAACACGCAGACAGCAAAGTAACTACGGCTGGGGATTGGAAAGTGTGCCTCTGCTTGAAATGTTCGGAAGAGAATTTCTGAAGAAGAGCTGTGATCTGTATGGAGTTGATCTTGGCAGATTACAGCTGATTGTCAATGAATTGTGGTTGGAAAAGGTGTTCTCGCCATCATTGAGCCTGATGAGTGAGCTTGGGAAGTTTACAGACGAGGAACTGGTCAGCGATTGGTTGAGAACAGCTCTCGGATTGCCAATTCTCAATAAGAACGGGCTGGTGTCTGCAAATCAAAGCAGACCTTCGGAGTCGCTTAGTGCTACACAGCGCCCTCATGAATCACGGGAAAAACCAAGACAATCTTCCAACCCCGTGGCTCAGAAGCCAAAACCATTATCAAACATTGGGCAACCCAAGGTCGGCGGTCGTAGTCCACGTCCCACGAAGAGTGTCTACATGACGATGATTTCCTCTACTCCTAAACATGGAGGAAAGAGTAACATTTACAATCCATCTGCTCTCCGTCGACCAAAGGGCTCAGCTGCTCCGATTCAAAACTGCAGGGCTGCGCAACCATCATATGCCGCTTCGATATCTCATTCCATATCCACATCTGAGGGCGTGAGTATCAGCAGAGCCAACACCGCCAGCCGCCGTTTCTCCACATCTGACGGATCACAAAATGGGGAATGGGACAGCTTTTGCCGGTCTCAATCGACACAGCCAAAAGCGAGATCGAGATCTTTTTCTGAGGCTCCTAGTAGCTCACGAAACAGTGCTCCAGATGCCTCATTTTCTGCACCTGTTGTTCATCAATACGTACCACCTGCGAGTCTCCCCACACCTCAATCCGAACAAATTAGTCCAGGTACTGGGCTTGGAGTCGGAATCGCCTCAGCTAGCATTCCAATCCCACATGCTATGCTCGATAGTCCTTCGACTGTTGATTCCGCTCCGGTCTACGATGAAGATGCCATGGACATGGATGATGCGGTCTTTATATGCACATACAACAGCTCGCTTGTCCCCAGTCAAGCCCCGAAAGGATTGACCAATACTACTCTTGATTACTATGACGACGGAGACGCAATGGATCTTGATGATGGGATGGATCTCGATATCCCAATGCCCGAACGTCAACGAAGACCCTCTCTGATTCGCCATCAGACTTTGTTGAAATCAACACATGTTGCATCCGAGACTGGGACTGGGACTGGGTCTGCAGCTACATCTCATAGCAGAAGCAGTAGCAGACGAAACTCTATCTGCGATCCCTCACCGACTGCTTCTACTGTTATAAATGCAATGAAAATCAATCATTCGAGAGTAGTCAGAAGCTTACGCAGATCTCGTCGTTCATCTCTGTCTCTGCAAGATGTTGTGACCAGGTGGGAGGATTTGAATACTCGCCCATTTTAGGGTGCTTGTATCTTGGTCGAAGCTGTTGGACGGAGTTTGGATAGCTTTGAGGGGGGCGCAGGGTCGGAACTGGGAAGGAATTGTAGCCGCAGAGGGCAATGGGAAGAATGGAAAGGGCGGAGATGAGGGATCAGGGAGAGCATCTTCCAGGAAGAGCGAGTATGCTTTGAGAAGTCCTGCTGCTGAGATTGAATGAATATGGTTGGGGATTGGTGTAGGAATTAGATTTTCTTTTCTTCTTTTCTTTTTTTCGAATAACATGAGTTGGAAAAGGAGTGTTGGACATACGAGAATATCAGGTCATGGAAACACAGGGCGGTGCGAAGATTTTGAAGACGTCTGGGTATGCCCAGACTAGTAGTTAGCATTTTAAATTCATAATTGCATAAATCATGGCATAAAGATACAATCATCATTGATAGCTCCGTGTGTATGTACTTCTATTGGTACTTAATGAATGTAGTTTTTAGTTGTAATGAATTGTTTCTGATTTTAGAATTGGTGTGATATTCGAATGTCTAGAACCGATTTTGGTCCATGTGACGTAGAGATTTTCAACTAGATTGACAATGTTGCTCTGTCAACCATGCATCAAGTCACTGTAACACGGGCAACAAACGGAAGCAGGTCCTCCTAGGAATAAGTACTGATCGGCATTGACAAAATGGAATTGTTTCAGATGGCCATCGATCTTCTCTAAATAATGTGTATTTCCCCATGAATTGGCAAGATTGCCATGCAACATCGAGATATTCGTCATGTTTCCCTGAAAATTGGTTGATTTTTCTTGCAAATTATGAAACATTAGATTTGGAAAAATCATCACTTACGTGGTTCAAGACCGCCGCTGTTATTGAAAAAAGACTCCCTGAATTGAAATCGATCAAATTATAACCATAAATCTTAACTCGGATACGTGTGGATTTAACATCCTTGGACTCAAATATCCGCTCCAGTTGTCTTAACAAAGGTTGCTTTTGCAAGGGCAATGCCCCTGGAGAAGGCTACTTCGCTCTGGCGGTGTCTGCTCGTCGTTGGTATCTCATATTTTTTGATTTATTCGCCTTGCCTCTAATGACTTCAAAATTGAATGGATACATTTCAAAGAACTAAACACTTTGAACAATCCGTGGCTAGTATGCCAGTAAAATTGGCAGGACCTTAAAAAGTACGTCGAAAGAGCTGCCTCCCTACCATCTCAGAGAAAATGACCCACAACTGCAACTTGCGTTCCTCCAACTGGGCATAAGAATTCCCTTTTATGGCTCCTGGAAAGAGCGGAATGAGTAAAAAGGGAATTCATCTTGATCAATGTGTAATTACTATATCTAAAAACTCTAGAATTCTATGAGTTGTAGACTTCAAGGTCCTATGTCACTAGAAAAAGGTCCCGTCGTGAGACATGTCCATTTTTCAGTACGAGCTGTATGATCTGAAACATAGATCTCATATTTTGTGTAGCAAATATCTAAGATTTAGTGCACCCAGTAGGTCTAAAGTTTTGTGTGTCGCAAATATGTAAAGGGTCTCTCCCTTAAAATTGATTGTAATGAAATTTTACAAACCCCAACTTACGAAGATGCTGCGTGCTTCAGACTCGAACTTCTGTACATATCAACCAATTCCTTTCAACTATGTCGGATTTAACTACCAGTACTTGCAGAGAATTACCAAAATCCGCGGAACAATTATTGAACAATACCATAAATCAACATATTGCTCACATAGAACAATTTCCACATATAGTTGGCTTTAACAATCCATTCTTTATTGCAGATATAGAAGTGATTCGACGTCAACATGATCTTTGGGTATCTCATCTGCCTTTTGTCCGGCCATTTTACGGTGAGATGAAGTTCATCCACTTTTATATTCGTCAAAACTGATGTACAAGAATAGCCGTCAAATGCAACACTGACACTGTCATGCTGAGAATACTTATGCATCTTGGCATTGGATTTGACTGTGCATCTGTGGAGGAAATGAAGACCGTCCTATCATTGGGTGCTGATCCTGGTAGTATTATTTTTGCAAATCCATGCAAGGCCCCCGAAGCACTTGCTTTCGCCTACAATGTCGGCGTTAGAAAGACGACTTTTGACAATCTCGACGAGCTGGATAGCATAAATAAATACATGCCTAACGCACAACTGATGCTTAGAATTTTTGCAAATGATAACAGTGCTCTTGTTACCCTGGGGGACAAATACGGTGCCCCACTGGAATCGACTCAAGCACTTCTTATCCGCGCGAAAAAACTGGGTATAAACGTCATTGGAACTAGTTTTCATATTGGTAGCGAGCCCTCCCATAAAGATGATGTGTTACAAAATTAACTTTTTGTTAAGGGTCGGGTGCTTCAGATCCTGCGGTAATTCGAAAAGCCGTTGAACATTCCAGATTGGTCTGGGATATTGCAGAATCTTTAGGATTTTCGTTGAGAATTGTTGATATTGGTGGCGGCTTTCAGTCCACAGAAGCCGAATTTGGAACCATGGCCACGGCTGTATCTAGGGGTATATCAGAAGCAGGATTTCCAAAGCAAACAACTTTCATTGCAGAGCCTGGACGTTTCTATGCACGCAGCGCATTTACACTTATTTGCAAAATTATAGCACGCCGAGTGTCAACGATGACAGGATCTTCCAAAACTTTAGAAATGTTATATCAAAACGATGGTGTATACGGAAACTTTATGAATGGGCTTATTGAAAAGGAAGACTTTATGCCAACATTGATCAAAGGCAAATTAAATACGACGATGGCACGCAAGACTGGGAATCATACCTACAAAATTTGGGGGCCAACATGTGATAGTACAGATTGTGTGAGTCAGAGCACCACTTTCGGCTGCGAAGTCAGAGTTGGTGATTTTTTGGTGTACAGAAACATGGGAGGTAAGTACTCAGACCGAACCATTTTTCCTGATAGCTGACTGACTATATTACAGCTTATACTTCAGCTACAGCAACGCGTTTCAACGGATTTTCCAATCAAACGGGTACTATATATATCTGTAGCAATCTCCAAGATTATACCCAAATTGAGGACTCTAGCAGCGAAGGGGATACTTGCTCACCAATGAGCACGGCGTTCAAGATTCCTACCGGTGAATTTTAATGTTCTTGCAAATTACTCAAATGGTGTTTTTTCTTCTGTCAAAAGTGCCAATTGGCTTATAAACTTGCTTGATGTTCTATTTGGAAAAGGGACCGGGAAAAGTTAAGGATGAGTGGGATGGTTATGTCGGACATCTGAAAATACAGGAGAAGAGGCATGTCTCAACGCGCAAAATGACGCATGTCAGCTAAAATGTTCCCAATTAGAATCGCTCGAAAATTTTATTCAAATTTAGTAAAGAAAGTGTCGTTTATTCGTGAAATTATGTATCTGGCAAAAGAATGCTCGCTGAACTTTCTTCATGAGCTTACAGTGTCTGAATTCAGATTGCAGTAATTAATTTGGAAGAAGTCCTTGACATGAGTGTAGAACCACTAGTTCTAGGAAGAGTTGCCAACTTGGAAGAAGTTCTCAACACAGTGCAAGTAGTGCAACCAGGAGAAATAATCGGTTGGAGAAGAACAATTGAATTAGCAGAAGTGTGTTGCAAAAATTAGGGAAAGTGGTTGACCTAGCAGACACACTTAGCCTGGAACGAACGATCAACCCTTGAGAGCCAATGGATCCAGGAGAAATAATCGATCCAGATGCAGTATTCAACTCGGTAGATGTATTGCCCAAATAATTCAAAGTACCCAGCTCAAGAGAGGTAGTAAATTCTGGGCAAGCAATGAACTTTGAGGGAGTACTCAACTTAGGCGAAACATCCATTCCCAGCGTACCAGAAATGCCGGCAGAGCCATCAAACTTCGTCGTGACTCCAGCTGGGGAAATGGGCAAGATTCATTCATCGGCGAGTTTACCCAGTGACCCTTCCCGCTAGGGTGAGGGTTTGAGCGCAAAACTGCATTGATCTATCAGAATAGGTCAGACAAAGATGGCATTTTGACGTGATTGATATGTGCCGTAATATTACAAAGACTTTACCTATGTATTGAACGGATTGTTACATACTCGCAGAATTGGCTCAGTCTTATGTTATGTTCAAAAATCTAACGATGTCGTTTGATTTTGTGACCCCTGTCCAAAAAGCTATGACCTTGGTGCTTAAATTCTTGCCGCATTATTACTCATAACATAACTACAATTTTGTACAAAAGTACCCCTCCATTCTTTTTTACTTTATTTATAAACGTGAAATTTATCACTCAACACAACCCGGTCTTATAGCCAATCTCTTCACAATCGCAAAGATGGCGGAGCCAAGTAAAGAAATTCCAACCGACCCCGCCATCGCAGCTGGAGGCGCCCCAGCTACCGGTGAAGACCCCGCACAGCCCTCTAAGAAAGGAGCCAAAAAAGCAGAAGCCAAAGCCAAGAAGGAAGCAGAAAAAGCACGCAAAGCCGCCGAGCAAGCTGCTAAGCAAGCTGCCGCTGGATCTGCTGCTGCTGAAGATCTTGCGAAAGATAATTACGGACAAATTAAACACACCACTAAGATTGAAGCCGAAAGTGTACATCTGAGGGAGATTGGAGAACAACATATCGGCAAGACAATCAAGGTTCGCGCATGGATTCAAAACGCAAGAATGCAAGGAGCGAAGATGGCATTTGTGGAGTTAAGAGAAGAGGGTAACTGGACAGTCCAAGGAGTTGTGAGTGCCAGCGCGGAGGGCAAGCCAGTCAGTAAACAAATGGTCAAATGGATTGGAGGGTTAAAGTTGGAGAGTTTTGTTGCGGTTGAGGCTGTTGTGCAGAAGCCATTGGAGCCCGTTAAAAGCACAAAGGTTTCGAACTTCGAATTGCATCTCGGAAAGGTTTACTTAGTAGCTACTGCGCCCGAAATGTTGGGCTTAGGATTGGGACCAGCGAGCAGAGCTGTAGGAAAGTTGGATGAGGAGGAAGATCTCAGTGAAGCTGCTGCCGGTATATTAACACGAAAGAATGATTTATACTAATGAGCTAACACTTATATAGGTCTTAGTGTCACAGAGGGCACTCCAACAGCTAGTCTGGCATCCCACCTTAACAACCCCGCTATGCACAAACGAGCACCTGTCAGCCAAGCTATCGCTGATATTCGAATCGCTGTTGAGGATTACTTCTGCGACTATCTAAGAAGCCATCGTTTCAAAAAGTTTCATCCTCCTTGTTTGATCGGAGCTGCTTCTGAAGGCGGTGCAAACGTTTTCAGAATGCCATACTTCGATAAAGAAGCTTATCTCGCCCAATCTCCACAATTCTACAAACAATTCGAAATCGCCGGAGGCCGAAAGAGAGTCTACTGTGTTGGACCTGTTTTCCGTGCAGAAAATTCGAATACTCCAAGACACATGACTGAGGTAACAAAACCCGCTTCACAATGATGATAAAATACTGAAAAAAAATCTAGTTCATTGGTCTTGATTTGGAGATGGAAATTGAGGAACATTATCACGAAGTCTTGCACATGCTTGAAGGTGTCCTTCTCTTCATTTTCCGTAACCTTGCCGAAAACTACCGTGAAGAAATTGAGCTTATCCGCTCCATTTACCCATCCGAAGAATTCCTTCTTCCCGAACCTGGCAAGGAAGTCCGTCTTACTTTTGCCGAAGGTCAAAAACTCCTTCGTGAAGAAGGGCCCGAAGAGTTCAGAAACGTCACCGACACTGAAGACATGAGCACACCTCAAGAAAAGGCTCTCGGAGCACTCGTTCGTAAGAAGTTTAACACTGATTTCTATGTTCTTGACAAATTCCCAGTCGACGCTCGTCCATTCTACGCGATGCCAGATCCCGAGAACCCTGCCGTCACTAACGCCTATGATTTCATGATGCGTGGACAAGAAATTTTAAGTGGTGGTCAACGATTACATTTGCCAGAGCAACTGGAGGAGGTGATCAGATCAAAGGGCTTGGACCCCAACCAACCTGGTATCAAAGAATATGTAGATGTGTTTAAGAGTGTCGGTGTGCCTCCTCACGGTGGTGGAGGAATTGGTCTGGATAGAGTTGTGGCTTGGTATCTGAATTTGCCGAGTGTGCATTTGGTTTGCGATTACCCAAGAACACCAAAGAGATTAAGTCCTTAGATTTGACTTTTGAAGAACATCAGAGTTGAGAATGATATATTTTTTGAAGACACAAAAGGTTCATCAAACTTGGAATCAATTTATACGCTTCCTATTGCCAACGCGTGACGATAGCCTGGAAGTATCAACTGAATCATCTTCGGCATGGAACATGATAAACAGGCCACAGCAAGAAGCAACAAGAGCACAGGAATTCTTGAGTAAAGAAGAAATTGATGAACAGCTCAAAAAAATCCATTAGGCATACCGGACCTCGGGTGTAGTCAATAAGTGCAGGTACTAATTTGAGAAGCGCTCTTGTGTTCGTTCAGCATTTCAATGTTATAATATATTCTGAAAGCCCAATTTGTTATTAGTATGGTGGAGGAAATTAAGGAATCGTGATTCGAAATTGAGAATCTGCAAGAACATAAGCTTTCCAATCATGCTGTTTTCACCGATTCAATTACAAATTGATGATCGCATCATTTTTGAGAAGTAAAGTGGAGAAATGCTAACCTCGCTTAAAGTCTACTTTACAAGACCATACAAATTTCAACTAGCAGAAATTATCGAGTAATGAGGTACCCCAACACTTGGCTGTAATTGAATGTTTAACTGGTTCAAGACTCTGAATTCGATTAATACAATTGTTCTGCTTAAAAACAAGTTAGTAATTGGGACTAACGATGATCCTACTCTTGCCACGGCAGATTTAGACGTTCCTTCGCACATAGATTATAGATTGGTCAGGCTTTTGACTTGCATTTTAAATTTTCACTCTATCGCTTTGTCTTTTCTTTTTCGCTCAAAATTTGGTATTACGCAGGTAGATCATGTAGTCTAACGACCCTTTTGCTAGTAACTCGATCCATTGTGAAAATTGACTAACAATGAATAGAGGCAGTTGAAGAGAAGAGCCCGAGAGCTGATACCGGCCGAACAAGTTGACTTTGTTTTATTTCTATTGGAATGAAATTTGTGACTACACAAAAAACCCATCCATTCAGCTAACACCTGCTTACCTCCACCCCAATTTCTCGAGGACGCAAATTAAATATGTGGAGCTCTTCATCACTGCATCTCGCTTAGCAATATGTCGTACAGCACATTCAATAGATGTTCAAAGTATATTCGATATATAGATTGAATATTAGGCTAAGATTAATGGTACCTACTGAATCAATCCAAACCTACTACAATGGGAGATTTTTCTGCGGGTGGAGGGTTTGTCTTCGCATCATAATTTTCGATCTTTCCTTATTTAATCAAAGTTGAGGGTTTCTTTTCACCTTGATTGCTTTGAACGCTGTGGAGCTATTGAGGGGCAGTATCTTTAGCCCTTTCTGTTTGGCCCGAAGATAAAGGCTCATTCAATAGTGTAAATTATTTCGGGTGGGAAAGGGAAGAAACCACTGATACACCCGTCATTTCACAGTCGTTTTATCGATCGTAACAATTGAATCTACTTCTGGATCTTTTTCGTGAGCTTCTCATGGTGAAAATATCTAAAAGTGAAGACACCAGCGGATACACGGTAATACAAATGAGCCCATGATTTATAGGAATTTCCACTATTCTGAATTCCTGCTCCAGAACAAACTTAATCTCATTCGATGACACCAGAGTCATATCTGTTCATTATTACTATCTATAACTAATGGAAGAAGTGTTTAAATCTGATCTCTTTTTAAATCTGGTCTCTTTAAATCGTTTCCCATCGACGCTTCAAATGACCCGTTGAAATCAAGACTGTATCCACAGTTGGGCCTTGAATCAGCCCTGCAACGATCGCTCATCCTATTCTCCTGGCATACATACGTGTGATAGATGTCCAACCGAAAAGATGACAAGTTCCCTTATATCGACCAGATTCACATGTGAATTCTAGGCTGCGCAACGGATACCCGCAGGGCGGATAATGGTCTCGACAGATAATCCGCAGATAATTCATCTATAAAGCGGATAATTCAGAATAAATACAAATTACTTGTGGATATTTATTTATTTGTATATTATATAATTATTTATAATCTTTTATAATATTAATATAATTTTATAATTAATATAAAAATTAATATAAATTTAAACTTGCATTATTTTTGGGCTGGAAAATAATCTGAGAATAGCTTTATATTTTAAGCAAAAAAAAAAACGGAGAATCTATATATCTATAAATAATTTATTTATTTAAAAATAAATAGATTATTTATAAATAATCTGTAGATTATCTATACAAAATAGATAATTTTAAAGTTTTGATAAATAATTTGTAGAGTAAGTAAAACCTCTGATGGATAACCTATAGAGCGAATTATTCATAGATAATCTATAGGTACAAATAATTTGTGCGCAGCCTAGTGAATTCCCACCAAAATCCAGCTAGATACTCTGCTCATCCAACTTCCTTTTCCTCCCTCGTTTGAGCTCATCTAAAACCTGCGACCGGATAATCCAACCACTATCCATAACTCTTTTTACAGTAGCCAGATATCTGTATCTCCTCGAACCTCGCAGTACCAATCTTTTCTCCCGTCTCTCCTGCGTAAGTTTGCTTATCAGACTCTTGATGAAGTTATCCTGCATATTCATTCTCTGATACTCGGGTATTCTTGAAGGAAGGTGGATGTTGCGACTCTGAAGTTCGTCATCTGAACTTATATCTGATGATAGAGAACCGATGTTTTGAAGTGAGTTTCGAGGGGTATGCATATCTGTCTCCATCTTTGGAAAACTCGAAAGGGGCGAGGTAAATTTTGTGCGTGATTTCCAGTGACTTGTGAATTCTATCTCTGGCTTCGTTGCCGTGATGGGTCTCATCGAAATCTCTAACGGTGGCGAATCTTCTCTAATCTTGATAGAGACTCCGGTAGCAGCACGATTTTGACCAGTATCATATCTTTTTTGAAGCTCAACTATAATCACTGACTGTCGCGCTTTTGTTTTTGACTTTGATGATCGTATTTTTCTAAATCTTGCGAGAGATCGAGTAATAGAGGAAAGTGAGCTTTTGAGAATTGTGCTTGGGTCTTTCCTTTTTGATTTCTGTAATTTGTGGGGCCGTCTGGCGAACATCTTCGAATCTAGAAATGGATAAGTGAATGAACGTCAATAAACGTAAACTTCTATACATTTGGTGTGATTGTAAGTTTTTAGGTTGTGTAAGGCGGAATAAGTATTAATAAGTGATGGGAAGGAGGAGTCAGCCGTACTTGAATCTTGGGATGTCAGAACAGCACCACGAAAACACATCAAATATCACGTTAAATTCTGGAACAATTCATTGGATCAAAGAATTTCTCATATTCGACTTGATTTCGCGGCGTACAAGGGACTGAATGTGTTACTCTAGAAGTCCTCACATACAACACTGCATCATATGTTGACCATCCCCATACAGCGAACGAAAAAGCTCATCCTCACACATGGCCGCTTCCAACTCTTCAGCAGAACATTCCCAATCACCATCAACGATATCCCGGCAATCATCCTCCTCTTCATCAATCTCAACTCCATTCACATCATTGCTATCGCCGACAATCTCACACTCACTACAGCTGTCGTTCCCGGGCTCACCCGTTAACATGCATTTCCTGCAGCATTCACGCCCCTCGCTAAATCTCTCCCCCATTTCTTCCCATTTCGTCCCCATACTTTCATATTCATCATCTACAATCCGCTCAAACTCTCTCTTCTCTAATTTTATGAATGTATCCTCCGAGAATTCACGCCCCTGGCCTAAAGTTTGTTTCGCCTTTTCTTCGTACTGTTCGGTCTCAGTGATGCCAGCACACCTTTGGCTATACTTTTCCTCGAGCTCCTCTTCTGCTGTTCTCCCATCTTGAGCTGGCGACTGCGGTGGTGAGTCCTCAGAGGTTTCTGACGCGTCTTCAGAACAGCAAATGTTGCAGAGACAAAGACCGCCGTCCATTTTGAATTGATGGGGTTTTGCTTTAGTATTGGGAGTGTAGATTCAAAGTAAGGGATTTGGAGATTACGCTGAGGAGCGGTGCTAATGTTAAGAAACGTGGAGGATTCAACTTGGATTGGATGACTTGGCTCGAACCTTGTGTGAGCATTTTTGGAGGATTTCAGACTTCTTATATGGCGTGGAAGGGGGAAAGGTATTCATTGAATGAATCACTTACAAGAAAGATTTATCTTTGGACCCATTAAGAAAGAACAAATACGTATGGAGTAGATTGAAAGAGATCCATAACAAATATCAAACATATATGTAATTCAACCCTTATTAGTTGAAAGTTGTTATCCTGATACTCAGTATAGAAAGCCATAAAGGGTGGAATACTTTTAGTAGTATAAATAAGTCGTCTAAGAAGACAATCTGTAGGCTTGTTCAGAGTGTATTGTGAATTCCAACTGACGATCAGCTCAAAAATAAGGAAGTGATATAACATAAAGGACAATGTCAAGGTGCTCCACCATGAAAGTAGTTGAATATTCAAGATCATTATCCTTGAGAGAAGGCCTAATACATTGCCTGTAGTAAATATTATACTTCTTAGGACCACGGTGTCTTTTAGTACTTCCCGTCACCTACGCTTATATCATGAATCATAGGAAATCTACCGTTCGTAGTCCATTGCTTATCCTTCTATGTTATCATTTGCGGGAAGATAGTGTTCCTTATTTCGCGATGTCTCTTGGGCTGTGAGGCAGGAGCGATTAGATCACAAGTATTTCTAAATCTACACAGTTTGCATTTTATAAGAACAACACTGATTTGAAACTCCTTTACATTTTGCTAATCTAAAGAAAAACGCCTTCGATAACATGTCACTTAATTGAAGGAACAATTCAATAAATGAAGGTCCTTATACATTAAGGTAATGTTGATCATTTACAATGAATTTTCATCATCTTACTCAAGCCAACCACAATTCTCGATCTGACACCAATGAAATTATCCGTAAAACTTTTCTAATCGAGTTCTTCATGAAGAAGTTCCCTAACTTGCGAAAGCAACCAATTGCTCTCACTGCCCTGCTGATGGTTCGATGTTTCAGTATCCTCGTCATCATCCGAAATCTGCACTTTATGCTCCTCAGTAATAGACGAAAGACCATAGGGTAGAGACACCTCATGGTTTAATACATGCTCAAAAACCTTCCCATCGATCATCGAATGCCCTGTGCCTTAGTATCCATAATAGAAACGGGCGGGCGGCGCAGGTCTACGTTTCTCTTCATTATAATATACTAAGTGACGTAGCATATTTACAATTTCTTGGTATCTCTCCGAGTAAAGTGTCCATGCTTCAGAGGAGGATAACAGAATGCGCGAAGCAGATATGGCCTTGACGAAGAATTGAAGGTTGGATTTCATGTTCAGATCGTTCTCAAGTCCAAGGAAGGCAGTATGTTGAGGTAGTGTTTGGACTCGTAGCCTAGAGTGAAAAAATGAATTAGTTCATAGCACCGGTGAATCCTTCTTTAAGGGGCAAGGAGGAATAGGTTAAAGGTCAAGAGTCTGCGTAATAAACGATATATGTTAAGGAATAACTTACAATGTTTCTGAAATCATGAGCACCCTTTCCTGTATCAAGCCTAGCAAAACTGCTCGTGGGTCTCCTAAAGCTCTTGCCAAGCAAATGCTATCTGCGCACATGCTATTGATTGCTTCAATAGGAACCGCTGATTATGTTAGCCATTGTTCTATCTGAACATCAAGAGTGCATTCAGTCTGCTCACCATCTTTCCGATGCATAACTAAGTCTCTCACGGTATTCAAGCGATCCAAAAAGAAATGCAAGTCTTCAAGAACATAACCAGAGGTAAGATTGAAACGGATATTAGGTGCGTTCATGTGTAGATGTGTTTTCCAGGTGCTTAGCTCAATAGACTTAGGGCAAGTTTTGAAGTTCAAAGCTAGGTAGGGTTGAAAGTATTGACATGCGAAGCTGTAGAGAGATTCTTCGATGAGATCTTGGATTGCCGTGAGGATAGGATGTTGGAGAGTGAAGGGAAGAGCTGTGCTGCACTCATAATCACCTTCGTAAGGACCAAGGAAAGGTTTGAAAGGACCAGATACTGGTTGCTCTTCAATCTCGTAACCCTGATCAAAGTTGAGACCAGCAGGTTGCTCGCGTGGCAAAAGATGTGGACGTGTTGAAAGCAATTTTCTAATCCTGCAAGATGGGGTGAGACGTGGTTTATAATTTAACTGATGGTTCGAAATCCAGGTATTAGTTTCTAATGCCTCTCCTATTAGTGGGACATTGATAAGTCTTCGAAAAGCAGCATCTTGCTGTCGCTCAAAGGAAGCGCCATCGAGAAGCTTGTTCAAGTCAGATCCAGGGAGAAAGTGTTTGGCATTCCATATGTCTTGAACTAAATCACACATGCGTTTGAATGAAATTCCATGTAGATGTTGTTCAATGTAAAGAGGAGCGAACGAATTCAAGAAAGCGTCTCGAGTACTCTTCTTGCCATAGCGAGCGCGGTCACAATCGGAGAGCGTTAAGAAACTTTTGCGAAATGCGAGGAAAACAACGAGACTTTCGGTATGTATACGAGGAATCGAGTGGAGTCGGGGAATGCGAAACGTAGAATACATCTTGTTTATGGAATCTAAAGGGAATTGGTATGTCAGAATCTCAGTAAACATGATGAGTTGCAATGATAACATACCACTTAGATGGGGTGAGCGATGAGACAAATCCATCGTTGCGAGTGATACTGCAAATGTGGGTAGAAAGTGAGATAGAGAAGGAGAAGGAGGTAGATTGAGGTAGTAAGTGTTGTAAAAGGGAGAAGAAGTGAAGCCTCTAGATAAAAGCGACTTGAAAGTATTAGAGACTCAAAATTCGCCCTCAAAGCATTTTTCTGGGGTTTCCAGGAACTGCTCAGCCGTCGGAAACCCTACACAGCTTTAGAAAAAGAGAGCAAGGAAAAATCATAAATCTTATTTATAGATTGTTTTTCGCAAGCGAATCTATTCACCAAGTTCTCACCATCCATGCGAGCCACTAGCACGTGGTCATGTAGTACTTGGTATAGTGGAGGTCGAGCCATCTCAGTAGAAACGGCAATCTTCAGGCTAATCAACAAAACCAAGGATCATTTTGCATATAATTAATTGATGAATTAGACTACCTGCGCTGTCCACATTAATATCTAATTCTCCTTTGAGTATCTAGTCATGCGCCTTCTTGACTCTGAATATGGGACATAGCTCGTTTGACCTTGATTCCACAACCCTAATAGCGGCATGTATCTCAGAACTTCGAATTAATAGAAACGAGTTGCTTCTTTCCCGTTATCTCTCATCCATGTATCGTTTCGCAATCTTCGTATTCATCATCAATCATAACTTGCTCAGAACAGCTCGCCACTTAAATCATTGAATCTCGATCTCAATCTCGATCTCTCGGAACGACTTCTGCACTTGGCATTCATTGAACCGTCTTGTTCGAGGCTGTGAATACTATGGTTAGCCTTGTGACTCTTGACGCTGCTATTGATAGCTTTTATGAAACGGTCTTGATCATATGCTGTAGCTGTAACGCTGAGATCGAAACCATTCAATGGAATATTTGCAGGAATGGAAGGAGAGGTACCAGTTGCAGACTTTGTAGCAGTCGAGATCTCTTTAGCTAACTTCTGAGAAGCAAGAAGACGAGTAGCTTCCTCAACCGAGATAACTTTCACATTCGACTCATCAAATGGAACACCCTTGAAACGACGAAGATTCTCTTCCTTGATAGCAATACGAAGAGGACCTTCATCGCAAGTGTTAGCACGATCCTGAGAGTGATTCTGCGATACAGCCACGGGAACCTCACCGTGATTGATAAAGGCAATGTCACTTGGAACTGGGGTGGACATCTTGAACTCATCCGCAAATTTCCTAAGGTCACCCAACTTGGTAGCCATGTCTTGTTTAAAGTCTTTGGGGCCCTTGGCAGAAGCAGAAGTCTTGCCCGCATGGGAAGCCTGAAGCGCGGAACGATTCTTAGGCTTTCCAAGCTGACCAAGTTCGAATTGCTGAGCTTCTTTCGATGTGACACCGTGGAATTTTGGGGGAACATTGAGGATATTTTTGTCATTTCCGAGAGAAACAAGAGAAGATTCTACAGGCATTGTTTGACCAACCCCCTCCCAAGAGAGACCATTCTCGCAGGAGGAACCACTACTCTCCCAGGAGGAATAAGCAGCTGACATGGTAACCTGTTCTTGGCGTTTCGATTCAACTTGGTTCTTGCTTTCCTGTTCCATTGTTAACAATGCCGGTTCATATGCTGAAGCTTCAAAGTCTTGATCATTTTTTGGACCAATCATTGAGAAAAGTCTAGCTCGCATAGCGGCACTTTCTTGCATTAATTGGACTCTCTTCTTTTTTTGCTGCTCTAGTAACATTTCTTGCATGGCTGCTATCGAATCTGCTTGAGGAACATATCTAATATTTGAAATGCCTCGTTGCGTTGGGGGAACCCCTTCCCAAGTAGGAGACAAAACCTCTTCGGCTCTGATACCTTGACACTTTTGAACCTTCTCATCACCAGAATCGAGCTTCATATTGTTCAAACTTGGGAGTGAGGACAGTTGCGAATGGGGTTTTTTTTAAAGCATCAAGCAAGGTATCAAACTCCTCACCGCGTCGTTGAGCACGTGGTTGAGCTACTCGATGACCTCGAGTCACTGAGCGCTTTCTATTTCCTCTCTTCGAGACAGAGGTACGAGGTTTGCTAACTGGGACAATAACGTCATTTTCATCATCGGGAGCCAGAGCAACTTCCATCGCAGATGTAGCATGAGCTACAGAAGCAATCCAAAGACAATCTTGACGATTGCGAATGTTTTCGCTTAGTGATACATTGTCTTCAGTGGTTGCTGGATCAGTCTCTGACTCCGACTCTGCAAAGGAGAGGGAATCAGATGGAACGATACTATTTTCCTGTCCACGAAGATTTCCTGGTATGTCTGTCACCGATGCAGCGAAGGATACACGCTTTGTTGATCTCGATGGCGAGCTCCAATTGTCAGATTGAGTGGGAGCCCAATCAGAATCATCGTCATTTTCCAGGTCTGAATCGCAATCTCCGTCATCTGCCGCAATGCTCGATGGCGGCTGACGTCCATGTCCCAATCTGCTTTCATAATTTGCACGAGAGTTCGATAGTGGTGAATGAAATTCATGTCTACCTCCACTACTGCATATATCATGGGTTTCGTGGTGTCGATGATTCGCAAGAGATTCCTGGATGTAAGGGCTACCTTTTGAGATTGATGCAGTTGTATCAAGCTCCGGAACCAAACTACAGTGTGTATCTGTAATAGGACGCTTGAAGGTTTTCGAGTGAACAGGGTACGTATCATTGCCTGACTTTGATAGAGCACACTTTTCATCTTGCTCTATAATGTGTTTACGAACAACCTCTGCGCGTTGATCCGCCGTCATGCCTTGAAGCTTGTCATCCGAAGGTAAGCTGAAGAAAAAAGCTTCTGGATCACGAGAATTCATAAATTTTATCGTCCGATCAGCGAGGTAGTCCAAACACTGGCTGTATGTCCATGGTTGTTGCAAGGACAAAACGAAATTGTTTGGCTCCATTTTCATACTCCCATACTTGGGAGGATCTGGGTAATGAAGAGGTGGCTCATGCGAGAAATATGAAAAATCAGTACGCGAAGTGACCTTAGATGGAGGGTTGTTGACGTGGTGCTCAGCGGGGCGGATGTAGACGATCGTCTCAAGCTTCAAGATGTCCTCAGCGGTCCAGTGTTGTACACCACGGGTCAACTGGCACGAGTATTAGTTTAATTCTTGACAAAGACGAAGAGAAAGATGCTTACAATGTCTTCACAGCTTTTACCTGAAATGGTTGCTATGTTTGGCGTGTCGGTGTTCCTACTTGCTTCTACCGCGGCCTTAAAAACGGCTCGCTGCAGAGCGAAAGAGGTAAGATTAAGGCAGCGACTGATCATGGAGGTAAGTATGTATCCATTGCGGCTGAAGTTTGCATAATGCTTGAGGCTGAGGAACGGTTGACCGGCCTGAATACTCTGCTGTGCTTCTAACAGCGCCTGAATCGATTGCGGATGGCGCATACTTCGTCGAAGAAGCTCCACTTGCTGGGAGAGCTTTTTGCGTTCCGCTGGTTCCATTTGATAATATGATTTCTGGTACAGCTGGAGGAAGATCTCAAACTCAGCCATACTTGGAAATCCCGAATTCTCAATGATCAACAAATCCAGGTAAGTCAATCGTGGAGGTGGCATGAAAACATCTTCTCCACCTTGTCCACCTTGTCCACGGCCGCAGGATATGGCATCTCTGGATCGACAAACATGGTCTGAGGATGATGGTTGTTGAAGAGCAGACTTTTGGGGAGGAGGGGCAGATTGAGCAACAGATTGGGTAGTAGGAATAGGCAAAGGGTTGGCGGGTTGACCAGGAGCGTCGAGAGATTGATTGGAAGGTTGGCGCGTCATTTTGCAGTAAATAACGCGGTATTTGTCTATCGATTTCTGTAAGTCGGATTGATCAACTGGAGTTTCAACTTTCTGGGCCCAGGGCTTGAAGTTGAAGACTTGTGGAAACTTACAAAAAGTTGTGGTATTTGTACAATATCAAAGAGGGGGTAGTCCAAAAACTACAGTTACTGTGGCAAGCACAACAACAATAGGTTTGAAAACCTGTTGAAAAAGAAGTTGTTTGTTAGAAGAATCAAGTAAGAGGTTTATAGATCAAGTTGAGAATTGTTGAGAAGAGGATGGTTTATTATGATTCAAGATTGTTATGGGGTCCGTGCAGGTTCGAGCTATAGGCAACAGGAAGGTCAATCAGGTGTCATAAGTGTCATAATTTGAATTCACTATATTCTTGGGCTCTTTGGGAATTGCAAGGTCTGAGGTGACTTCTATGTGAACAGTTTTGTGCAATAGAAGAACATAGACATGAATGCTACTGATTATAAAACAGGTCACATAATTCGATCTTGGTTTCTAGACAAACTTCTAGGTAGTTGGACTGCTTTGATATGAACAATACCTTGAGAGAGAGGGAGGTATATGACTAGATCTTTGATATTCTTGAACACAAAGGCATTGATTTTGAGCACTTGCAACTTGCACATAGTCATACTATATTACTATGTGATAGAGAAACAATGATTAAAGTATATCAAGAAATTGAGAAGAACAGTGAAGACAATCAAGATATGCTTTACCAGCTCACTAGACTTGACATTGCGAGACTACCTACCTAATATCAAAGCAACATATCAATCACTGATTGCCACCAATCAGTACACACTCGAAGCAATTCACAACTTTGAAAACAAACCTTAGGAGACAAAAGTCTCATACTGCGCCCCTATACTCGGACAATGGTAGGAAGGAGAAAACACCATAGAATTTATTAGGCACGTAATATCCCCGCTAGAGGCTATTCACTCGATATCCCCCCATACTCATGCCATGGTAATTTGCTAAAAACGATTGATTTGCAGGTCAATCTCGTGATATTGTTATATCCTCAAACCTGCATGATAGTTCACAATGTAAGATTTTCATTTATAGGAAACCAGATGATTTCATTGCCTCCTAAATTTACATATCATCCATCATGGGAACGAACACCCCGCGCAACCAATTTATCAGAGGTTCGATCTATGCAAGTTCCCACTCATCATGCCTCCTATCAAAAGTTTCTCCCATTTAGTGTTTGTCGGCTGGCTTTGGGGTCTTTGCGTTTGGGTTTCTGGGATCGTTCTTGAACTCCTCGCCTGTAATAGCCATTCTTGTCAGTATCCCTTCAGTCATATCTTTACGGTCTTCGTGCGTAGACAAACAATGGAATAGACGTACTGTTGGCCATTGCGGTAGCAGCAGAGTTGATTCCGTACATAATGACGGCACCTAGTTCCCCAAGTAATATTAGCCCATAGTTCAGGCTCTAGCCTTGCCGTTCCTCCCCAGTTCCAAATGCTTTCGACCTTCGCATTTCGTGATCTACTTGGGATAAATGGCTCTCAAAGTAACATACCGGCAACGAAGAAAGGAGCCATTGGCTTTGCTAAAAACACAATTTTATTAGCAAACATTACTTGGAGATCGGAAAAGTGCGGAACGAAAGCTTTTCACAGCTTGCAATTGAAAGGCTGCACATACCGACAGGCACAGGGAACTTCTTTCCTAACCAAGACATCGTGAGTTTGTGCTGTGGAATACGATTGAGAATGTACCGGAGGGTTGATGGGAGGTTAGATGGTGGTGATGATTCCTGTAATAGTAGTGAGGTCAACTATGGGAAGGGCCGCAACACAATGAGGCTAGAACGTATTGGGGCTAGTGATGTATCACGTTTTCCAGACGATATCTGATGCCTTAATGATGAGGCCAAAAGCCTTTCCTTTCCCTAAATAGTTTAGTCTACGATGATTGGCCTACCTTCACGTGCATCGAGAGTCAATATCTTCAGCAGCTTCACTTTCCCCATACAAATATACAAATCACATGGATACAACTTACAAGATAGAATCTCAATTTGATTGGTCTCCACAAAAGACTCCAAGCCCGCAAACCCTCACAATGGATTTATCCGAAATGGAGCCAACCACATCCTTGCTTTACTCCTCACTTTCGTCACTGGCCCAGCTGCAGCTTGGTTGTCCTTTTTTCCTCTTTCAGTTCATTCACCAATTCCCCCCTTCCTCTCTCACATCACACCTCCAAAGTATTGTAACCACACAAACCTTTGAACCAATCTATCTCTGCCCATACAATTTTGATCCTTTCCCGCTCGAGCAATTCACTATTTGATAGTGCTTTTTATACTTCAAGACGGACAAAACAGTCAAAAAGTGCGGGGTATTTGACAAGCTTGCTATTGTTGGATTCCATTCTAGCCAATTATATGGTTTCTTGTGCTACGAACTTATCAAACCTAAACCAAAGCTACTTGTGCAGCTTCCATCTTCCTTTGTTTCTGTTGATTGCATCTCCGAAAGAAGAGGAGGAAACAACATCAATTCTTTAAGAGGTTATTGAATTCAATATCTGCTTTGCATTCGAAAAACGACCGAGACGAGACGAGACGGGGTAAACAAACCACGGCAACGACATCATACCGGCGCTTCGGAAGGTGCGAAGATACAACGCAGCCCATTATACGATAATTGAATGACAATAGGAGCATAAAACCTCAATCGTTCAATTAACCAAGCGAAATTCCTTCCTTCACCTCTCTGAGATTGTGGTACTTTGATTACGAAAACGGATTCATCCTTCGACCAATCTCAAACAATTCCAATAATCGTTACAACTATTGACCACACCAATAATCAATCAACAACAAAATGTTTACACGACGAATCGCACGCAGCTCTATCACGAGTCAACCTCTTAGAGCCTTCACGACTACATCTACCTCTCTCTCTCGTACACCAGCCCTATCAAATATCACCCCCCAAGGTGTTGCCTCATTCGACGCAAAGCAGAAAGAATTTCGAGAAAGAATCGCAGAACAACATCGTAAGAAAGAAGCTGCAAGTGAGTCCAAATTATCCTCCCAAGCTCAAAAATCTGCTTCGGCAGACCATGCACTAAATGGAGTAGAGCACACAAATGGAAATGGTGAGAAGAAAGGAAAATTGAGTAGTCTAATTTATGGCACTCCTGAAGGTCGTGAGATGGAAAAGGAGATTGAACAGAGTTTCAGTCAGGTTTTGGCTAGAGGCAAATATGTCCACTCGATCGTGTTTCATGAGGTCAAGCCAGATAAGGTTGATGAGTATGTCCAATTGGTTGGGGAATGGTATCCAAAGATGGCGGGAATGGAACAGAATAAAGTACACTTAGTTGGAAGTTGGAGAACAGAGGTGGGAGATTGTGATACGTTTGGTACGCTTCAATCCTCGTCTACTTTTGAATGTATCTCATCTACAAACGCTGACAGATGAATTATTACAGTTCACATTTGGGAATACCAACGATACCACGGTTACCATGATTCCCTTCACAGTATCGCATCACACCCTGGCTTCCAAGAATTCGACAAGAAACTCAAGTCTCTCATTACAAAGAAGAACGTTTCTCTCATGCAAGAATTCTCTTTCTGGCCTACCACTGCACCCCGTCAACTTGGTGGTCTCTTTGAATTACGCTCGTACACATTGCACCCTGGAAACCTTTTAGAATGGGAGACTCATTGGCGCCGCGGTCTAAAGGCTCGCAGAGAAGTCATGGAAGGCGTCGGAGCATGGTTTGTACAAATCGGAGAATTGAACACTGTGCATCATCTGTGGCAATTTGCGGACTTAGAGGAGAGAAAAAAGAGAAGAGAGCAAAGCTGGGAGATCGAGGGCTGGGGAGATACAGTTCACAAGACTGTGCCATTGATTCAAAATATGAAGAGTCGAGTGTTGATTCCGATGCCATGGAGTCCAGTTGCTTGATCTATTATCTGCGTGGATAAGATACCAGAATTGGCGGGAGAAAACTTATGCAATAAACGTGAGCGATGTGGATACCAGGTCGAATTTAGTCAATGAAGTGTGTTATTGAAGCGATGAAAGTTGAATGGACGATACCCAGCTCTGAACTTGAGGGACAAGATCAGCACGCTGCTACATGTATTAAGAAATTGATAAAAACCAAAGGAGACTTGTAAGGAATTCAGATGCAGATGTTTTAAAACAATAGATCGGCGAAGTCAAGCTTGATTCTACCAGGTAGTGTTGTGAGATTTGATGGAAAAGTATCCAACAAGGGTGCCGCTAGCGTTTCCGCCGGTCTCGGCTCGTACCGAGATGACAATGTTATTGCACTATGTACTCCGTCACTCTGTAGTTACATACACGACATTACATAGACCATATAACTAGCTTTAAAAGATGCTCTTAGTTCCACAAACGCGGTTGTGTTTGCTCACCGTGGATAAGGGCGCAGCACCGGTTCACAGCAAATTTCATGTATTTGGGCCCCCACGGGGGTGTGAAGGGCCGATGTTGAATTACTTCATAAAAGTCCCGGTACACGATAAGTGTCTGTTACCAGAGTTTTGATTTATTATCCTATCTGTGCCTCAATAGATGGGTTACCTTTGTACCTGCATCTCCAGTATGCTGCTTACCTATCTCGATAGAAATTGTGGCAGAGTGGGTGGTCAAGACAAACATGAGGTGTGTCATGTGGTACTGTATTGTAACCCTTTTTCTCAAGTATAATTATTTGAATCTTGCATTAAAGTCAAGTCAAACATTGAACCACACGCAAGCTTTCTTTTCGATACTGAAAGTCTTTATCTTCCTGTAGACTCCAATCCATTGGTAATCTCAAGACCATACAATGAACAGTGACTTTCCGTACAACGGCATTCTCCCATTTACATACCAAGCATCTGGCATTCTATTTGCAGACTGGATAAATCTATTTACACTCTGTCTCGCTCCTCTTATTGTTCACATTGTTGCTGGCGTTCCATCGCCCGTCTATCTCTCCAGCCCACGACCCCGCTGGCACGAGCGGCTCGGCCACTACAATCCCACTTCAATACTATGGCGTTATTTCTCAATCATCGATCGACGAGCACGATCCCGCGCATGGAATGCTGCGGATATGGCAGCTAGTAATGCACATTTCTGGACGTCGAATGGATGGGACGGCTCGGAAAATATGATGCGGAGAAGTCGACGATTTTGTACTCGCATTCCGAGTTCTCCGCATGCTGTTTGGGTTTCGAAGACATCGGCTGAAACAGTGGCGACTGTATTGCAGGGACTGCAAGCTGCTTGGCAATTGGTCGGTGGATTGGACGGGGGTGGTTATTCTAACACTATCTCCCTGGGAACGGTTTTTGCACCGCCGGCTATATGCGGATTAATAAGATTACCAGCGGCAATCTGGATATCTGATGATTATTCATACGTGGATGTGGATATCGATATCGATGGCGAGGACAACAGTGAACCAGAAATAGAAACTTGCGACGGATACAGCCTGACTAACACATTAAAACCGCGCAAATCACCCACAAGTCGTACTCTTCTCAGCCTAGGACTTCTCGAACCATTTCCTGTCCAATCGCTTGATCTCCACTCTCCCCATAGCTGGCGCGGTACAACTATACGAATCTCATTTCTCCTTCCATTACTCGCTCTCCTGACCCTGGCACTCCTATATCTAACCCCCTATAACACATCATCCTACCCCACAAATATCTTCTTCACACTTACTCAATTCCTCGTCGTCACATTCTTCACCATTTTCCTCGTTTGTTCAATCCCCATCTATACATTCTTTTTTCTGACTAATCATTCCACAACTACTATCATCCCTTGTATAACAAGTCTCTGGTATAAAATCTACACAGCGCTTTTATTCGCTTGCATGCTTGTTCTGGTGTGTGTTGCGGGTCTGGAAACTCGTGCGACGCCGTGTGGTCTGTATACTACTACTCCGCCGGGTTTCTTTGATATGGTGGTTTGTGGAGGTTTGAGTGTGTCCCCGGATGGGGCTCTGGAGGGAGTGACTTCGAGTTTGCCGTTTGGAGTTGCGTGGAGGAATAATACGAGTGAGGAGATGGGGGACGGAGAAGTTCATGTGGGGGAGTTTGAGGGGTGGTGTAAGATTGGGAGGATGGGTGATGTAGTTGAGGCTTTCTCGCCTGTTAATTTGTCGAGCTTTGGTGGGTGAGATATCCGAGGGAAGGGTGTGAAGATGTAGCATGTATATTATATGCAGGCCCTAGAATTCGAGCAGAGACAAATTGTTCCTGAGAAAACCTATCATGTTCCGGTAATTGTCACATGTGGTCTAATTGGAAGACAAAGCTAAAACTTTCAAAAGTACTCAAACGCACCACCAAAGGTTTACTCTCACTAGTTCGCTATACAAGTGGCTGCTGATGTGAATCCTTTAGCTAGCAGTCAAAATTATTTTAACTTTTATCCCGAACGACGGACTAGCGAAATAGGAATTTAATTCTTGATCATAGTCTATAAAAGGTTGCCTCTTCATTGAGATATGGAAAATTGTGTCTCTGAATTGGTCCCATTAACACCATTTGTAACATGAAACTTGCTGAAACGACAGCAAGGTGCCACATTCGATCTCCTCACTTTGATATCTCATGGTCCAAACCCCTCACATTTGGTAGAAAAAAATGCGGCTTATCATTACCCATCGGCAGAATCAACTGGCAGTCAATTCATCAACCCGGACGAATCATCCACAATCGAAGTATCAACTTAATCACTACAAGTGCTACCACAAATGTACGAATCTTGAGCCTCCGGAACCTCCGCTAAGTCCACTCTCTTAGTTCCCTCCACTTCGCCCTCGTTAACTCTCTCACATAATCCCTTCAACTTCTCCCCTACCCACTCAAAATCTTTCAATTCAAGATATATCTGCGCACTCAATCTGGCCCATAGTACATTCGCATGCCAACCAATCTGCAGATAGGTGTCAAATTCTTTGACTGTGGTTTTGTTGAGCCATACTTTGATCTTTTCTGCATCGGCAGGTTTAAATGCTGTTGTCTCGGATATTGCATGAGACTCGTCGCTGCTCTTACGCCAAAAGGGTATTGGTAGCTTGATGTTAGTGAAGCACGTTTCTCTTCCTGGCAATATGGGGAGAGTATGTGTATTAAGGGTTGAAGCGCATAAGTTACCGCCTGTTTTAGCGAGATCAAAACAATATTGACGAATTGATGCTTCACCGCCGCAGATGGTATTCCGGAAGGATATTGCGGCGGGGATGCATAGGTATGGTGTATAGTCAATGGTTGCAACAAAGTTGAACATTGAGATGAAATAGTTATTGATGTTTTCCAGAGTGTCATTCTCGGAACTTTTGCGGTAGCCGTGAGATGTAGGAAGGGAGGTGCGGATGAGATGTTGGTTGCGTAGGGGTACATAAAAGACAGCACACGAGCGAGGGGTATAGAGCCATCTGCTGTAGGTTAGAATACGAATTTAATGAGAAGGGAATATCATACTTATGGCAGTTACTGACGAAGAAGTCGGGACTGACTGATCCAAGATGTGTGAGGTCAATGTGTCCGATACCGTGAGCACCGTCGATTAAACTCAAGACGCCTAGTTCTTTGCATATCTTTACAAGCTTCTCCCAAGGCATTCGAACACCGGGGAATGTCAGGACCTGTCAATGACATTGTAAGATAATCGTGATCGTCAATCAAGTCACATGAGATGCACTCAAAGCAATGCATGAGCGGTGATGTCAGAACTACTGACAATTTAAAGCGACTCCATTTGTAAGATTGAGGCAACCTTACCGTATCAAATATAGCCAACTTAACTTTGGTACCCATCGCTTTTACCAACTCTACAAAGTCCTTGAATTCTCCCAACTCACTCTCCTCATTAATCGGAAACTCCAATACCTGACAATGTGTCGCCACTTCTACTCCCAACATCTCTCTTACACTTTCAACTGTCTTCTCACACGCATCATAAATCGTGCTGAAATAAACAATCATATCTCCCTCCTCCCATTTCAAATTCCTCAACACGGTATTCACCCCTGTCGTCGCATTCGGGATTAGAACCACTTCCTTGGGATCAGCACCTAGAAGAGGTGCAACGGCTTCTCGTGATTTATCAACGAGTTCTGGGAGATCATAGACGTAGAATGTACTGGGTCTTTCAGTACATTGCTTCTGAAATGCATCTTGAGCTTCTTGAATAGGACGTGGGTACGCGCCAAAGGAACCGTGGTTTAGAGGTGTGTAGCTGGAAGCGAATTGGAAATGGGTATCACGCATGCGATGGCCGAATGGAGGCCGAATTGTCATTTTGGTGAAGGGGAAGGTTTTAATATTGTCTGTTTTGATTGTACAGTTGTAATGACTTCTGGGAAAGTCATCGTTGTTGATGGTTTGGTCAATAACTCGTTGATCGTTGCCAGATCGGATTCTAGAGTGAGTTGTGGCTGGGGTTTAGAGAATCACACGTGATATGTATTTGTTTCATCCACTTTATCAGCTACAAGGCTCTATCTCGTTTGCCTGTACTGTCGCCAAAATCATGGTCTCTTTAATGATGATTCCTGTTGCGCAGATCAATAAATTGATTGCTAGATATGTTTCTTTGCTTGTGAATGATGTCGTAAAGCAACCTGAGAGGTAAGATAGATAGCTTATGTTATGTATGCCTACACCGAACAACACTAAGTAATATAAAGTTTCAATCATTGTTAGCTACTGTTGGTTGGCTGCAATATTGCTGATGCCGCTATTGCCGGCAGTCAGCTACCTAAGTAAGTCGGAAGATTATCTTGCTATATAATGCCAAATGAAATAGAAGCCAAGAAATCTCTATAAGTGTATCCATCGCAATTTGACTGTCGAACTTCAGAGACTACAAACAGTTAAGTACAAGGAAGCTACTTATCAACTACTAGGGGCTCGCTAACTATGGCTTCTCGAAAATGGAAAGATGAACTCGTTCCCAATTTTATTGACCAATCTAGCTGAAGTTGATCCAGAGGCTCTGTATGCAGAGTACCCGGTTACTACTTTGACATACGATCATGGATATCACAAGATCACCTATGATGATTTTGCAAGCGCTATCGACTCTGTTGCGTGGTGGATGCACGAAACCTTTGGTCCCGCGAAAGACTTCGAGGTTCTAGCCTATATTGGGCCCACTGATCTGAGATATCCAGCACTGATCTTGGGTGCCATAAAAGCTGGCTACTGGTGAGATTCTCCCCGTGTTGTTTCTTTGCATAGACCCCAGTCCGCCCCCTATTGCGCATATCATTCTCTGTATTCATTGAATTTGAATAATTCGTCGTCAATAATATGTGATGCTAACGCCTAAGAGATGCTTCTCACTTTCTCCAGAAACAGCGTTGCAGCTCAAATAAACCTGCTTAACCGACTGAATTGTAGAACTGTTCTATCACCGACTCCTCGTCCTCCACAAATAACCGAGATCCTCGAAGCTAATTCTGATCTCCGCGTCGTTGAGGTTCCAGGTGTTGAGGATATTCTTAAGATTAAGAGAAGACGTTTTCCTTTCGATAAAACCTTCTCTAAAGCGAATCAGGAGCCCTCCGTCGTTATGTAAGTTGAGTGAACCCATAATCATGGTATATCAAAAGCTAACCTAACTACAAAAGACATACATCCAGCTCAACCGGATTCCCAAAGCCTATGATCTGGACTCATGAAACTGCTCAAAGAAATATCGCATTAATGGCGCTAGACCCTCCAGCTAGCTATGAGAGCCAACATCAAATGTATGAGGGGAAAAGAGTATTTTTAACCTTCCAACCCTTCCACGTGAGTTCCAAATTGTTCTTAATGACGCCGTAGTTTCTGATACAATATTGTTTAGGGTGCATACCTTTGTTGTCACTTATTCAATGCTGTACCATTTGGTACAGTGATGATTGGCCCTACTTCTGGAGCAATACCATCCGCGAAAGGTCTTGTGGATGGATTGAAGAAAACCCCAGCGGATATTGCATTCATAGTACCTTCTATTGTGAATGAGTTGAGCCAAAGCCCAGATCTCCTCAATTTTTGCGCTGAGCATCTGGAAATGATAAATTACTGTGAAGGAGACTTGCCACAAGCCATCGATGATATAGTTGCATCTAAGATTAGACTGGTGAATCAATTTGGAGCCACGGAACTTGGCTTGTCAAACCTGATCCATAGAAATGGCGAGTTCGACCGAGTAGACTGGAAATATGTCGAGTTTCATTCAGACCAGTAACAAACAATACCTATGAGCTGAAAATACTTTCCGATCCCGAATTGTCAAAGCAGCAACCTACCTTCACGATGTTTCCCCAAGCAACGTAATATGCCAGTCGTGATCTATTTACCCCTCATCCAAGCAAGCCAAACCCATGGAAATGGCATGCAAGAGCTGACGATATTATTAAATTCTTAGATGGCGAGAAGGCCAATCCTATATCAATGGAGCAGCACATCGTAGCTCGAAATCCAGAAGTTCAAGCGGCTTTGGTGATGGGCGCACAACGTTTTCGGGCATCGCTTTTGATGGATCCTGTGAATGGAGATGTCGATATCTCAACAACAGAGCGCGCAGCGCTGCTAGAAAAGATCTGGCCCTCGGTGGAAGAAGCCAATCAAAAGTGCCCAGTGAGTAAACATTTCACTCTCTAAGAAGAAGATTTGAAAGACAACATGGCCTTTTGGTCTTTCCTCTGTTTTTTTTATTTTACGACGGGCAGGTACTGATATGTCCGATAGGCTCATGCAAAGGTTTCCAAGACACATATTTTCTTTACGAATCCAACCAAATTTATGTTGATTGCGGGAAAAGGTACGGTCCAGCGAGCAGGAACTTTATAACTTTACCGGGAAGAACTCGATGATTTGTATGCAGATGCAGATAGCATAATAGCAGAGAGAGACGGCGAAATCTTCTCGAACATGGACATTGGTGACTTATCATCGGTTTCCAAATTTATGAAGGAAGTTGTGGTCAACATCACTTCTTGGTCCAATCTAGATGTGAATGAGGATTTCTTCGCTCGCGGAATGGACTCGCTACAGGCTCTTACAGTTGTGAGAAAGCTTCGTTGAGGCCTTGCAATTACATCAATTGCTACAAGCACACTTTATAGCAATCCATCAATTGCTCAATTAACAAGCGCTGTCGTGAAGAATTCGAAAGACGAGAAATCTTTACATGGTCAACAGACGAAAGGCCAATTGAGAGACAATAGGCTAGAAGAATTTCGAAGCCGTATCGATTCACTTATTTTGCCTCCGCCAAATCCCCTCGGGAAAGTTGACACGAATCATGAAATCGTCGTCTTGACTGGGTCTTCAGGCTCGCTTGTTTCTCATATTCTAGGGAGTCTTCTATCAAATCCACAAGTCACACACATATACTGTTTGAACCGCTCATCGTCGGGTAAAACTTTCCGGGTCTCTCGAAGTCAATTCGCAGACACTGCCGATACTCGAGTTACATTCCTTCTCGAAGCCACGGCTTGGACTTCATTCAGAAGACTATTCTAAGTTATTACAAGCAACTCGCATCATCCACAATGCCTGGCCTGTCAATTTCAACCTATCATTGTCTTCTTTCCGTCCGTGTATTGAAGGTCTGATCAATCTTATTACGCTCACAGTATCGAGCGTAGGTCGGAGGTTGTTTTTCATTCCCTCGATTAGTTCTGTCATGGGATACAGAACTTCATCTGGTGCTACACCCGAGAATATAATCCACCCATCGACCGACCCAAATGCATCTTTCGTAGGACCAAACGGCTACGCGAACAGCAAATACATCTCGGAACTTCTTATCTCTTACGCATCAGATAAGTTTCCACCTCATGGGTATAAATTTTCCCTCGCAATAGTCAGTCGGATAGCCGGTCCAGTAAGATCTAAAGGGATTTGGGAAAAGACGGAGTGGTTTCCAAGTCTCATTCTTAGTTCTATACATATAGGTTGTATTGCCAGCTCTCTAGGTTCGAGTCTTGGAAGAATCGACCGGGTACCGGTAGATTTACTTGCAGATATCATCACAGACTTGGCTCTGGCCAATCATGTCCAAAATGAGGGGAGAATGGTTCAGGTCTTTCATCCTTTGAATCCCAATCCCAAATCCTGGGAAGACATCCGAGAGGAGCTGGTCATGGATTTGAGTTCTATTTCTGGCAAATCGATCGACGTCGTTCCACTCGATGTCTGGATCGCAAAAGTTAGGCAAGATGTGGAGCTCAAAGCAGGAGCTGGGACTATTTTGAAGGACGGAGAATTAGATGAGACCCTGAAAAATAATTCCGCGGCCAAACCGTTAGAGTTCTACGAAGGTGTGCTTGGAGATGGCGAGGAAAGTAATGTTTCGGAAATGGAAGAGACTAAGAAAGCAAGTAAGGTTTTGAAAGATCTAGAGGGTGTGAAAAGGGAGTGGATTGCTAAGTGGATTTCTGAGTGGGTGGGTATTTGAGAAGGATGAGATCGGAAGATTGTTGTGAACACGTTCCTAGGCTTCTCTGGATAAACGTATCGATTCAAGTATTTAGCAATGAATCTGATATCATCGATATCGATATGTTCGTTCTTGCGGTGTGATTAGCGAAAAATTGTCGGAGTTGTAACATGATAAGGTGTTGTGGAGGCCCTGGATTTCTCATCAGACTCACCCACAAGATCTGAAAACTCTTTCCAAAAAGTCACAATAATAATCGAAGAAAAACTAGTTGCTATTTGCCTACTTTGCTCAAGAAACAAGTGTAGTATTAGTGAGGATATATCTTTCATCATTTCGGAGTATCAAAGATGGCTAGAATCGCAAGGATGAACTCAACGTTCGGCAAGTTTTTCATGGAAATATGCTTGCTACTCTTTCCAAGACGAATGGATTTAATGCAACGGAGAGCCCACTAATTCTCAAACAATGAATTCCTCAAGCAGGCCAAGAATACACATTAAGAGTGATGAGTAGTGGAGAGGCATCAGTGTGAGCAGGAGCAGCACTGATGATATCCAGAATTTCTGCAGCTTCTCTAACTGGGCTGCGATATTGAAGTGGGGTTTGGAAGAAGGTTCAACTGCAATGCCGCCAAGAATTTCGAGATATACCATTGTGGTGATGCTCTATTTCGGTTATAAGTTGAAAAATAAGATTACATTCTATACATATCCATACATATCCATACATACTCCGGAGAAGAATGTGTAGAGCCTGACATTATTGATTGATTGAATTCTATTCCAACCGCCCATTTGGATAAAAAAGAAAATATAAAACCCAAATCCGCGAAAACAATCAAATGGTATCATCGCAGAACCTAGATTTAACTCCTGATGTAGCTGCATTTCATCTAGCTGAAAATGCTTCTACAGTAATCCTTGACTGCTTTCGACTCGGCTAGCAGGCGTGCCATTTAGACCCTCTGAGCATTGCATTGAAAAATGCCAGGCCTGACTTGAGCGATGCCATGAAAAATTATAGTCTAATATTGGGCAGATTATGGGGACTGATACTCTTTAAATGTAGTCTTAAACACACCACTAGTCTTCAGCCTCCAAGCCATCACCGCCCATAACAATTTTCAAATCCGCCCTCGCCCCTTCAACTGTATGCTCCAGGGCCGCCACTTTAGCCAAAACACTCATTAGCCTTGGATCCGCACTTTCGACCCTGACCTTTTCCTTAACCCTAACCTCTTCCCCTTTGAACATGAAGACCTCATCCATCTCATCATGCTCCAATCTTCTCTGGGCTCCTATCGCAAATGCTATCCTGCTCCCAAGATTGGCTTGTTGTGCAACAGGTTCAAGAACTCGTATGGTGAGCAGTAATGAGCCATCGGAGATTGTTAGATCGAGAGAGAGATTGGATGGTAAGGATGGGGCGAAAGTATCAGCATCAACAGGGTTATGCGCCCAGTTCAAAGATGCGGGGGTTTGGGTGGGAGATTCGAGGAGAGAGGGACCTTTGAGGACGAGTTTTGCCTCGGTGAGGATACTATGGAGAAGACGCAACTGGGAGGATATAAAAGGCGCAGAATGACGATCACCGGTCCAGCGAGCTATGTCAACACAATCAAGACTTTGGTTTAGGAGTGTGCGGAGTTGAGTGAGCGGTTCGAGGAGAAGAGGTAATGTTGGTGACAGTGAAAACGAGGACGGTGGGAGAGATTTGAGGCGCAGGTGGAGGGTCTGAGAGGAAATTTTAGCGATCGCTGAAAGAACTTGGATTCACAGTTTGAGGTTCGAGGCGGGAAAGGGTAGTGAAAGATATGAAGAAGCAAGGAAAAGGGGGAAGACAAACTCCTTTGACCACCTGAGTACCAACACGTGTAATATGGCCCTTCAAATACTCAGAACGAGGTGAAGACATAACAAGTGTAGACCCCGGCTCAACAGGCGCGAGAAGCGCATAGCAGTCTTCTAAGCCCGTTTTGAGTGAAGCCAATGTTTCCTGTAGTGATTCTAGAAGCCATGATAGCTCGCGTTCCTGGACTGACAGTTAGTTTCCCCTTGCTGTATAGACGACATGGAGGGGAAAAGTAGTTAAATACCGTAGAGTCGTCCTCTTCTTTCCTCAAATCATGGACAGGTAAAGACGGCCAGACGGAAGTAGACATATCGATATATTGTTGATGCGAAATTAAATGTTCTGCGGGATGATATAGATTGCTGCACTTTGGTGGAGCTGTCCATCTATCTATAGCCTATTATACCTATGACGTTAGTGTAGCATAGATTCTGCCGGGCGGTGAGTGTATTTAATTCAGAACTTTGCTGTATCGATCTAATGTACCAGAATCACAATTACGGATCATCCCTATGCTGTTTCCTTACTCCACATCGAATTCCTGATAACTTGTCTATCAGATTTCATATCACAAACATTACTCTTACTTTCCTTTATTGTTGCGCACATATTGCGAAACAACAATCGCAACCAAAACCAAAACCAGACTTGCATCGTGGCCGACACGAAAATGGCTCGCACAATACCTTCACTTTCCTCTAAGGACGACAAGAAGCCTAAACTTCCAAGAATAGGAAAGAGTACGATTCTCTTGATTTCCTCGATTTTGATTGACGCTAATTCGTGTGCCCAGACCAAAGAATCCAAAAGCGACCCCTTCTGCACCCCGCAATCGCGTCACCCCGCTCCTCTTCTGAGAAAGTTGTCTACGTCTCTGACAAATCGCAATTCATTGCCGTCGTAAAACGAGTCCGCAAATATCTGGATGGCGCAGAGTTTCGTGCCGGACCTACAGTTCTACCTAGTACAGACAGGGAGTTGATGAGAGAAATAGAAGAAGGCATTAAAATAAGTAGGATGGAACGAAAATCAGGGAGTGGTAATGGCGAAGAAGTCGTAATGAAAGGAACGGGGAAAGCAATCGAGAGAACTCTGATGTTGGCGCATTGGTGGCAGCAACAAGAAGGTGTGAGAGTGGTCGTCAGGACAAAGAGTGTAGCGACTATTGATGATATTGTGGGAGTTGATAATAAGGATGACGGTATGGAAGAGGGTGAGAGCAGGGTCAGGAGGGTCAGTGTGCTGGAAGTCGCCGTCTCTTACATTTGAATTCAATCGAATCAAATGCAAATCTCACGACCAAGAGAATGAATCTCGCAGTCGAACCGAGTGTCGTTGGATTATTTGGGCTTGGAGTTTAGGTATGGAGTTATGGTATATTATAAATAGGCGGATCGATATGGAATACTTGAATGGATTGGCGCTAGATACCAAAACAGAATTTACATGATTAAGGCTTGGACTGCAACGTACGGATGAATGTAAAATTGTAAACTAAAGGGGCCCTGTTCCTACACTTTGATAGATTTGAGTCTAAATTGTGTTTTTACAAAAAGGGGTGGATCGTCCTACCCCGAGTTTTTCCCTTTCCTTGTTTGGCTTATATTCCTCACTTACCGGCACCCGGATTGCTAAGAGCGTGCCTTCTTCTCGATGGATTGTGGCAATCAAGCGAGATCTTGCCTCGTCAATCGTTTCAAGGGGGGAACAGACATCACGCCGCTCACAACGCACGAATAGCATGAAGCCAGCACTAGCGTGCATCGTTTGAACAACGACTTATTTTTGAATTCTATATGGTTGCTCTCAGTTCATTATGGGAAGGGCAAATGGAACAATAGAAATTTCTTAATCATGATGTGAGTGGAATTGGAGATCAAGTGCAAACGGAGCAGAAACTTTGCTTGATTCATCATACTTATTTTAATTATTCAATTTGAGATACATCTGACCTTTAGGTGATGTAAGACGACTAGCCGGATCCCCGGGTGCTATTTCCTCACTTTTCTTGTACCCCAATTAACGATTGTGATAGCCATTCTTCGTGCTTGAGCTTTGGAAAGAAGCACCAGGTATCAACAAGTACCTTAAGAACATCGTTCAGAGTACAAGTGTGTCTAGCCTCTCGACTACCCTCTAGTTCACATCCCGAAGCCACCATGACCATTTTCCGAGCCAGTATTATAAGCTGACAGCATCCTCCAACGCTTCTCGGATGTTAGGATATTCTCCATTGCGAACAGCATAATATGGGTCATGGATGCTCGCAACCGTCTGTCTATCCTCCTCCCAAAGTTCAGAGATTGTCTCAAACCACTCCACTGTCAAGAACACATTAGCTATCACTGAAAATTTTAGATTGGGGATTTATGAGGAGCTCATATACCCATATTTGCAGTAGTTATCGTTGTTCTTGGCTCCACTTCCACTGGAGTATCCGAAGAACTACCATCGTTCTGTCTCAATTCTGCGTCCTCCTCGTCTGCTAATTTTCTAGCATGCAAAGCAATTTCGAATTTAATGCCTCGCTCATCTCGTTCGTGCATTAGCGCTTCGACTAGCTCTATCAGAGCATGTATCTCATGCATGAGCTCTGGATTTTCGCGTAGATTTGTCATTTGCCAAACGTAATTATTGAGTCGTTGGTTGACTTTTTTCGCCTGTTCCTGCCACTCGCGATGCTCCATATACAGCTCGGCGAAGTCATACGAGTGACCTCCAATGGCTGCATCCCGATTCAACTGATATCTCTCGAGACCTGGTCGATCTGTTCGAAGGCTGTCTGTTTCGTCGAGAGTTATGTGTCTCTCATCTCTAGCATTTAATGAGAAACTCGTAGTTCCGGGTGCGAGTGTTTCGATTTGTAGTTGATTTCCTGTGCTTCCATGTTTAGTTTGAATTCCTCTTTTCACCGAAGTTTGTGGTTACGGAGCACTAACCAAGGTCTCGAATTGGAGCTGCTTGTTTCATTCTACTATCGAGTTAGTTCAAGGCTATGATAAAAACGAGTAGTCGTCTGCTGTACGATGTTTGGACACTTACTTGGAATAGTATATTGGTTTTTCTGTAGGGAACTTTGAATTGAATATATGGCTCAGAGAGCGTTCTTCACTAGACTAATCTTACTACGAAGGAGCTTCTGCTTGATGTTGTAATGTTAGAAATGCGTTATTCTATGAGATATATATATAATTTTGATGCAGCTTTAAAATGATGTAGATCTTTCTAAGCGTATTTGAGCAGCTGTATTGTATCAAGAACGTACTATGGCGAGAGTGGTTGACCTCTCACATCATAAAGTTGCTCGGGACACTCTCTGGTTTTCTAAGGTACGGCACAAGCTGGGTCCAAAGCGGGAATACCATTGCTAGATTAGATTTTAATAGTTTACAGACTAGATTTAGAGCCACTTCAAAGCCAATCTATTTCGATCTTATAGATCTCTACGGCGAGGATTTGTCGAACTTGATTTTATTCGGGAACTTGTGGTCTTGAGAAAATTACTCTAGTACTATTGGATTTCGCCCCTGAATTTACGCGAACGGCCGTGCATGATCTCGTTTTCGACGACTGGTTTTGGGTGCAACTATTTTAAAATTCTTTTAAGTTCCGGTGAAATCTCGAATACAAGAAACACAGTGGACATCTGTCCTTGGCTTTCTACTTACAGTCTCCATGAGAATGAGGCTTTGGCCGCAATCCACGAATCGTTGCCTTGGCGCACACAATGTGTATTGAGCCTTAAGGCCTTGTGACATTTAGTTTCACTGCTAAGATCGCATTCAACTAGGAGGATTAATGATGGATAATCAGGAAGTCAATTAATCAAGAACCGACGGTACCACTGAAGCTAAACAATCAAAAAAGTTATGTTAGAAATAAGTGCCATTTTTGAAGGGGGAGAGCAAGTCTCACTTTCGTTCGAGCTTTTCTTTTAGGCTTTTTTCACCCTTGCGCTTCGCGTTCTCGATATCTTTGTCAATCGAATTCAGGTCCATCAAAGATATCTCTTTTCCATCACCAACGAAAGTCCTCTTTGCCGTCTTTGGGTTGATATCCTATGGAGAATAAGTTACAATGAGAATTTTCCAGCTCCACATAAGTACATACATCTGACCTTGTGCATATAACAGCCAATTTGAAATTGATATTGGTGCCTCCCGATTCCTCCCACGCAAGCGGAACATGGCGTTTGAGCTCACTATATAATGCTGACTTTAGGGTTGTATCAGTAATTGCTCTAGAAATTTTGGTTGCGATGAAGACATGATCACAACTCTGCAAGTACTTCTGTGTTGCTCGAACACGCGCTAAATTAGTATCTTGTAGACCTATAGGGATTCGTCAGCCAGTCTCAACAAACAAAAACACTGGCTATACCTGGTAGATCAGCGAGGACAACGCCTGTTTTCAGCACTTCGGCGTCAAGGTAGACCCGAATAATCTTGGTGAATGGCCATAGCTTATCCTCCATGAAGACACTGGTTAGTTCTTGACATTCATCAGAAGTATGCGCACTAGCTTTCCATAACCCAGACTCACTATCTACAGGAAACTTTATTTTATGCATCAATTCTAACAATTTGCTCTTGATCCTCTCAAATGAACCTTTCGAATTGTCGCTCAGGAAACTGACATCGAACTCTTCTTGTTGGCTAAACAATGCCTCAAGAGCCGACCATGCCACTGCGGATTCTCTTTCGATACGTGGCCGTTCAGCAGAATCAAGCGCATTGCCTTCATTATCTGAATCTGGTAAAAGTATTTGTCGATAATTCAACAACAATTCTTCCACCATCTCTTGACGCTCTGGTTTGGAAAGATACTCTACCTCAATTGAAAACGGTTCGAGGGTACTATTCTTCATTTGTCTGTACTCTGTGACAACGGAAGTACAAGCAGAACCTTCATCGCTCTGAGCTATTGATCAATATTTACTCAACACAAGTGGTCTGAAGTGAACTCACAGTCCTAGCAAGCTCTGTCACATGTAGAAGCGAGTTGATTATACTACTTTTTCCTATAACGAAGTCAGCGCTTAGTTCATCATACTACAAAATCAGGAGAAATGTTCAGGCTTACCCTCTCCTAATGCACCTAGTATAGCAATGGTCCTAGTACTCGATATGTCGCCTTTGCTTAGGCCTTTTGAATCATTCAATAGTCTTCGGAAATTTCACATCTTCTCCAAAAAATTTCTCTAATTTTTCCAGTTCATCGGCCACTTGAATTGCAATATCATAGCTTCTTCTAAGAATGGACTGAAATTCTTGGGTGAAAATAGGGCTCGACTGGTGCCTCTTCGTCTTCAACCGCGTCTTCGTCCGATAATTCGCTATCAACAAATGAACCTTCGGACGATCTTCGGGAGTGGCTGATTTGCGGGGTGGTACAACCCCGCACTTCAATGCCATCAGAGGAAAATGTATAGTGAGAGTCTTCCACGACTTCAGGAAGATTTTCTGAGCCATAGCTTGTTGTAATTTTGTTTCTGTTTCTAGTGTATGCAGAGGCTGGAGCAATTCATGATCTGGTGTCGCAACGGGCTTCAAATTTGCGTTTCGAGTTGGTGTATCTTGAGTTCCTTCTTTCTCCAAAGTTTTGGGAGTTACGGCGCTCTCTGTACGAACTCTTGATACAAGCAGAGTAGTGACAGACATGGAATCATCTTGCGATTTTGGGCTGTCGCTTCTTTCAATCTGATGGTCTGCAGCTGTGCGCTCGTCTTTTGAACACTCTCGTGTTGCAGCATGTTCGTCCGCCTCAATACTAGAGGAAGATCTGGGGTCCGAACTTTGCCTGTTTTTCGACGTTGGCCTGTTTCGTGGTCTACTGGGAAGCGGTAAAATTTTACGTGGAGAGAGGGGATTTGGTGAATTGGAGGATGCCATTGTTGCTTCTAACCATCACGATAATAATATGAGGAAAAAGAAGAACATCAGGCGGAAACATCACCCTCATATGGTTAAAAATGGTTAAAGACGCACAAATATGCCTCGTTCTGCATCAGTTTCAAGGATGCAGTTTTGGAATATTCTAGCCAAATAAAACTAATGAAAACTTGCTTACCCCTCCCATGAACGAGGCAGATCGTCGTTGAATGCTATAATACAGGGGCCTATAATTAGAACAAATAGTTGGTACTTGGAACTACTTGAATTGTTGGGAAATCATTCGCCATGGTGTTCTGAAACTTCAAGATGAAGCCATATGAGCCTTCACCATGCCGGAAATCCCCAGAATCACTGAGGCCTTTTCAATTTATCTTTAATCTATCAGCAGAACATGAAAGAAGGAAGTATGGGCGATTCGTTGAAAACTTTTGCTTTGACTCGGAAGTCCTCTCTGGAGCTCAATCTTTAGCGGTCCTAGGCATAAGCCAAACATGACTATCCGCCTTTACATACAGCCTTGCAAACGTTAGTTTGCTTAATGTCTTCCTCCGATTTGATGCTGATTACTAATTATTGTTAGTGATGAATCACACATTAAAATTGAAGTTAATTTCAGAGAATCGTTCAAGTATTTCAAATCTACTAAATATAAACCCGCGTCTAAAGAACTGAGTAATCTTACATTTTGAAAGAGAATATATTACACCGAGATTTTGACCATGAAGAGGAAATCATGGAAAAATTACCAGTAATTATCGGCCAAAGCCTCAAAATCTTTTCTTGAATGAATATAGACGCAATCTCGCGGCTTCTGTATCTCCCGTAAAATGTTTTTCAGTTCCGAAATTCGCTTCCCTTGCCCTGATTGCGCCCCCGTTGAAAGTTTTGAAGCTGCAATTGATATCTGATCCATCTAATAGTATTGATTAGCTCTTCAAATCCCTTTCACGGAAGATCTCCTGTTTGTGGAACGGGACTGGAGTGGACATTCATCTCCCGGACACAAATATGAAGATTGGATTCCTTAAACGAGACTCGGATACTTCCTCGCCAAATTTAATGTGGGGTATAGAGGCCACTGGCGCCGAGAACCATTCGGAACTATTCCACCTCATCACACTTTCATCATGGGGTATATGACTCAAAATTAGAGTACACTTTGATAACGAACAGATATCCGGCAAGAAGCTTTCCAGCTAGCTTATATTGATAGTATCATATCCTATCACCTACCATTTCTGTGCTCCTCCGACTGTACATTGCAGCAAACAACTGTGCTGGGGGGCTCTCCTGCGCCACACGACGGCAGGCAGGTTATTGAACCATGAGGATTGATCTTGAGAATGGTTGCAATTAATTCATGTATGTTAGTAGATGTTGGTTTATATGTACACTTTCCTGTTTGGAGGGGCAATTAAGGATTAAGATTAGCTCTAAGCAAAGTCTGCATGCTCATCCCAAGCCGTGAATGTTTGATGGGTGTGACGGAATGTTGTCATATGGTATTATCACACCCATCAAAAATTCTGAAGCATCCAAGATTGTTTTTCTCCCTGCTCCTTCGACTTTTACCATCCAGAGTTTGACTTCTTCTTTCTTCCAGTGTTTGCCTATCCCCTCAGATTTGAAAGCTTAACATCACGGTCTCTTTTGAATTACTGCAAACTTTGTGGAATCTCATTAATGGTATATGATGAATGATAGGGCTTCTTGCTTTGTGCTTCAGCCTACGGGCAATATATCGTTACTTGTTCTATCGTAATGCGACGCTAGCGAATGGATGCCCTTCTCCCAAGAGATACGCTCATAAAAATTAATTTTTTCGGCATTAACATGTTTTTTGCATTAGCAAAGGCCACGCAAAGTGGAAGCATGCTTGCGAAGATTGGAGGACTCTTCACTAAATATAGCAAAACATTTCAGTCAAACTCTTGGGGAACAACAGTCATTAACACCATGGATTCCTTAGTAAAACAAATAGTTCTAGCAAATAGCTCGGAAATGTTTGACGTCGGCCCATCCCGGATACTGATAGTAGAATCTTTGATGCAAGACTATATTTTCACCTCAGAAGGGCAATTATAGGCTTATCACAGAAGCATCGCGAAACGAACATTCTCCGTCATCTCATCACTTGAGGGACAGATGAATCGCTTGCCGGAATTGATACCCCGAGATGGTTCAACGATTGATCTACAACCACTTTTGAAAGAAAAAAAAATGGTAAGTATTGATGCTTGGATTCAAAGGATCACTTAATTGATGCATTTTTTTTAGATAGAACAACTGAATTTCTCTTCGGGGTATCACAAGACTCCCTTCTAGCTGGTACAAAGGATGATTCTACGGAAGATTTCATCTCGATATTTGATAAATCCTTGATAGGTTTACACGCTCCTATGTTCCTTGGCAGGTTGGTTTTCATTCGTGTGCGTGATACAAAATTGAGAAAAGACATATCTTATGTCCATGATTCTATTGACAGATACGTTGAAATGGCTATTGACAGTCATCGGTCATCAGAGAGACCCGTTGAACAAGTCTCGCCAGCCAACTATGTATACCTGGATGATTTCGTCAAGAAAACCAAGAAAAAAACGAACTTCGAAATCAAATGTTGAACCCATTCCTTCCAGCTCGTGATTCTACTTCTAGTGCAACGAGATCCTTATTCTTTCGTTTGGCACGTCATCCGGATGTCTGGGTGAAGTTGTTGCATAAGGAATTTATCAGCATAGGTGATACACTCATAACATTTGACCTGCTGAAGTCGATGAAGTATCTCAAGTTCGTAGTCAATGAAAGTTAGTATAGCATACCATTTATAATCTTGAAAAATACACTAACGGTTTAGGTCTTCGTCTTCTTGCTCCAGCAGGTCTCATTCTACGAACATGTGTTAAGGATTTTGTACTTCCAACAGGAGGTAGACCTGATGGTCAAAGTCCATTCTGGTGCGTCCTCGTACGGAAATTAGAACAGTCTTTCACGCATTACATAAAATTGAGATGTCTGGGGAGAAATACGATGGATTTTCGTCCTGAGAGATGGGAGAATCTACGAACAACGTGGGAGTATGCACCCTTTCTCGGGAGTGGTAGGATCTGTCCAGCTCAACAGATGGCCTTGACTGAAGTTTCCATTCATGCAAGAATTTCAATCCATGGAGAACAGAGATCAGGAGAAGAAGTTTGTTGCAGGTATAAAGTTATATATGAAGAGTAGGAATGGTGTGAAGGTAGGATTCGAGGTACCTTAGATGTGATTGTTTTCAAAGTTCTTGAACTTTTTGGGCTACAAATTGTTGTAAAATACTCAGGAATGCCACACTTGTGACTCAAAGAAGAAGAGGCTCTTGACACCTTTGAATGTAGTGATATATCCGTGCCTTGAATATGTGTTCGAAATCTCTTGGGAGCGAGAGCGAGTTCGATAGTTTATTGATGCGACACATCTGAACGATTTAGCAGACATGAGCAGATACAAAGGGAGGCGTTTCTTTTTGAAACTTGGAAGGTAATCTAGCATTTCTTTTAAATTTCAAGAGAAGATCACCATTCAGTTCTAGATGACATGAAATGAGATGGAACCTAAGATTTTGGAATATCATTACTATAAAAAAATGCCATTAGTAACCTCTTTGATTCATTTTAAATGAGATTGTCTCATGAGTAAAATACTATCCCTTCGTGCAGCTTTGCAAACAGTAGTACCTGCGCAAGCTACCGGCAGATATTTTCGCAAATCCACGCTGCTATAAATTCTAGCTGACCCCAATTTGGTTTTCTCTGCGCGATGCCTTCCTTCACAACAAGTCCCCTTATACCACGCCTTCCGGACACTAGGAGCTACTTGCAGGAGGTTTGATACCAAGTGCACGATACATATTCTCTTGCTTCTTGAGAGCACCCGAAGACTTTTCATGTTTTGGGGTAACTTGTATATTTCCATCTGCCGGTTGTCCTGACTCCTTTCCGACGCCTTTGACGACATGCTCAATAATATTCACCCTCGTCAAGATCCCTTCGATATTCTTAATTTTATGCTCCATCTTGTCAAGACGAAGACTGAGATCATTGATGTTGGCTTCTTGATTGTTAATGATAGTAGTGAGATCTTCGGTTGGTGTGATGTTCTTTGAAGTAGCACGCTTGGAGATAGTGGAACGATTTGGAATGGAGAATCTGTTTGCGCGAGGTTTTCTACTGTGATAGGTAAGTTAGCACAAGTTCACTCGGAGATAAAGATGAGAAACCAACCCGACCCCTCTGTAAGACATGATGACTTCTTGTGGCAGGTTGATATGATTTTCCAGATTCATGATCGTTCGTCAGTCGAGAACTTTTTGTAGGATCCTTTTCATATGAAAAGTGAGGATGGCCTGGGCGAAGGCGAGCTTTTTATTTTTATGTCAAATCTCGTAGCAAGGAATATTGGGAGGAAAAAACTCGAATCAACATTCTTTCCAAGAATATGATTGAATCCACTGTACCGTTAAAGGCTGAATCGATTCACTATCTCTGTTCCCGCATTTTTGAAAGTTGATATCTCGCAGAGGAGACAAAGATTGCTTTGAATACATAATTTATGATACAGAAGAAGGGTTTTCGAACATTTTATTTTTCAATCAGTAACAACGTAGTTGGCATAGCTTTGTGTATATAGGGTAACACGTCAAATATAGACATTCACTATGTCGACGTCAGCTTGTTCAAACCTTCACTTTCACCTAATATTGAAGAGCGATGCACCCTCTACTTTAATCTTTTCTTATAGAGCCATGATCTACCCAATGATTTTTTGATTTACATCCTACGTAACAGATTTTCCCCTATCTAAATTGTGATTAGATCTATCACTATTGTTTAATAAGACCTCTATAGAGTGTTTCAATGTTCCAGGCTCATCTGACCTTATCAGCGGTATTCACTGACTTATGAGATGGAAGGCTTGCCAGCTTTGTCAGAATAGATGTTGCCAAGCAATGGTTATTTAATCTAACCCGTCTGTTCCTTGATCAGAGCAAGATTTGCACTCGAAATGATTATCATCATCCATTCAAAACTGTTCGAGGTTCCAATCCAACAGAAGGAACCTGTCAAAATTATGGGTCTCATCGATCAAGCGAGTCAATACGGGAATAATGACTAAAAAAGAGAAAAATAGCTAAAACGATTGGTGAAGAAGAGCGTTCAATGAAAGCATAGAAGAATGGGAAAGGATGGGAGGATCCATGGATGGCGATGTTAAAAGAGTCGATGCTCTTGTGTCGGATGTCAAGAGTCAATGCTCTTGTGTGATTCCGAATGTCGAGTCAATTGTGGAGAAAGAATAGAGAAGAATGATTTTGAGAATATATTGAACAAGTAAACAAATGTAGAAGGAGTCTTTGGTGCTTGGTATAGTGAGGAAGAGGATGTCTTTCAAGAAAACCGAAGGCCTGAGGTATGGCTAACCCGTGAGCGGCCGACGGAAGGATAGCAAAGCAATTTCCTTAAGGTGTCTTTTTGATTCGATGATATGCGAACAACTTGCCAATTCAACTAGATGTCCGGTTTCGTTTTGGTGTGGGAACTAGCAACTAATTTCAATACATATACTTACGCGACTAACCTGCTCGTCTTACGTACAAGCAAATAGATTTCCATATTTTTGGGACGGATTCAATCATTGTTATCAAATGCTATTGATAACAACACTTAACTTGATAGCTCGAGTCATATGATCTCGCAGCTGATACACATAGCAAAACACGGATACCTTGACTGATGAGAAAAAGCCAGAATATTAATTTAAGGCTATGAGCATTTTGTCTATAGTTCTGATATGACCAAATTGTGATTTTTAAGCTCATCCTTAAGCTCTATTGTAGAGTGGACTGCTATGAAATCTCATACTTGCGCACAGTACACCTTGGACTATCCCCTAGACCATTAGTTACAGCCGGGAAATGTAATCCATACATAAACAAGAATATTAATAACTTTATATATTATATTAAATATAAAAATCATTTAGTTTGAATTTTTATTAAAGATTATTAAAATAATAATAATTAGAAAGTTGATTAAATTTTTTACATATTATTATATTTCATTTATAAAAGAAATATAATTTATTATATTAAAACCTTTTAAATTATAACATTTTGATTAACTAATAAGATATTATAAGCAAACCTGGTCGTATCTGGCGGTCTAGGGGATATCGCGAAAAGCTCGTGTATTAAATCATAATTTGAGTTATTATTCAACATAAGTTGGGTACTCTACTTTCGGGCCACCCCCCTTTTGGGCCACTTTTTACACCAAAAATGGAATTTTTAACTTTCTTATTTATGAATAGAATTTATTGAAAATTTATATATATATATAATTTAGATCATTTTTAGTTTAGCTTGAAAATTTCAGAATTTTAGGAATTTTCTATATTGAGATCTAGAGCTTCAAAATATTGATTTTTAAATTTATATGAGAATCACATATAAATTTGAAACTTTTATAAAATCTTTAATAACTTTTTAATAAAAATTATTAAAAATAAACTATAAAATTTTATTATAAATTTATAATATTTTTATTTTGAAGGATTCAGAAAAAAAAGAAAATTTCCTATAAATAGATATTTAAAAGAATATCCTCAAAATTGTAGGGATTATTTATACTACTTCAAACTCACTATATATTATATCTTTATATCTGTTGATTTTTTTGAATTTTTTTTTGAATTTCTATATATATTTAAGCTCAAAACTTTCAAAAAGATATATAGTTTTCTTTTGATAATTGTTGTTAAAAAGTTATTAAAGATTTTATAAAAGTTCTAAATTTGTATATGATTCTCATATAAATTAAAAAATCGATATTTTAAAGCTCTAGATCTTAATACAGAAAAATCCTAAAAATCTAAAATTTTCAGATTAGATTCAAAACAATCTGAATTATATATACACAAATTTTCAATAAATTCTATCTATAAATAAGAAAGTTAAAAATTCCATTTTTTGAGATTTTTAGTGGTAAAGAATGGCCCAAAACAGAGGTGGCCCGAAAGTAGGGTACCCGACTTAGTTGTTTCATTATTTGATGTTGATGTTGGCCAACACCCCGAAACATGTATGACCGTAAGATAATATAGTATTAGAAATTCGAACAAAATTCAAGTGCACGCATATAACTACCAGGCCAATGATAGAAAGTCCAAGTCTTTCGTTCTAATCCAAAAGAAAAATAGTATTATGATACGGCCGTATCATGGCTACCTTCTAGTATATAAGTCTCATCTCATGAATGATGAGATGTGAAGTCAACTTTCTTCCATACATTCAAAGTGATCTGCGCTAAAATAACCCAGGTCCATTGCGGAAAATCTTTGATTTTTTGACCTCCGTCTTTTCAACAAACAGTTATGCTTATCAAGGAGAGTTACAATGATGTGGGACCTAAATCAATAGACTCTCATCCCTCCTCCTTCCTCCCTTCGTGTCCCTTGATTTCACCGGCAGAGTCTTGTTGTACCTTCATCAATTCCAACACTGATTCCCGCTGATTCGAGCTTTATCTTCAAGGGAATCTTAACTCAGAGTAACGACAATTGGTATTGGTCATGGGCATTCTTTTTTTCTAAAAATAAATCCACCGTCTGAAACTGCGTTGGTAGTAGCATATCGTGTATGGCTGTTTGTATCAATATCTTTAATAGTGGCAGTAAGGTGCCACTTTCAGAGCCGTGAATATAGCCATTCATGTTTTCATACTAGGACCTATGGAATATATGACTTTCCATGTCAAGTCATTTGATAAGAGAATCTACTCAAACAAGTCCAGCATTATTTTACACTTTGACGAGCAACTTCCTTCCTCCTGACCCAATGACTGATCACTCCATGCATAGTTGCACACATCGGCACTCTGAAGCCCAAATTCAAAGATAATCTGTTTACATATTTCAATAACGACATCTTGACTGTCCCATTTTTCAAGGACCGTACTCGACCCCACAAACAATTTGCTCAACGATCCCTTTCTCTCTAGCTCTTTCGCGGTAAATATTTAAGGGATGAGTACTCACAATCCTGATACTGTCGATCTATACTCTTACGATCTCTGTATTCATTATTCTTTGATTTGGCTTCGTGATTCAACTCTTTCGCTAGATATCCATTTTCCGACTCGTTCCTGTCGTACTTCTTTGCAATCCTCCGAAGTTTGTTCCGGCAACATTGTATTGGAGATGGTGGTTTGAAGTTCCAATGCGCCTCTACTTCGAGTTTTTGCAAAATCTTATTCAAACTCTTCCATGCTTGTTTATGGCCTAGCATTTTTGTCAACGAAATGTTGTCGTCAAGCATTTGTCTGATCATGACGATTGGGATATTAACGGTATGGTGCGCATTGCTGTGGCGGACTTGCTGAACTTCCCTAAGAGTCGTCCAGATATAATCTTTCGTCTCGCAGGGATGTAGGAACAGTTTTGATTCATCGAGGCATGCCGGGGGCCACATTTTATGGAACTCCTGTAATTCCGCATGTCCGCATTGCCTCCAGCCCCTCCTCTCCAATAAGTTATGATTACTGGGCATTTGTCTCAAACATTCGAAGCCTGATTCTTCCAATACAGCTTGAGCCTCTTGCAAAATCTCTCTCTGTACACTGACGTCATAAAAGGGCGTTGGGTCCTTTACCCACTGCTTGTATGCTCCCAAATCAAAAAAATCAATTCGGACCGCGTGTTTGAAATTGTGTGAGCTCGAGCGAATTTTTTGACTGCCATAGAATGGTCCGCCATAGTTTCTATCAAAAAGTTTCTCTTCTTGTGACCTATGTTGTTGATTGTTGCAAGCAATCGATCGACGCTCGTCTGTTCTTTTTTATCATCCATGTGCTCAGGGACAGTTGCAATATAGTTGCTTGGGTGAATTGCTGCTACGACTGCTATTGTCCTTATGGTTATCGAGACTCTTTTTTGTTACCTCTTCCATCTGTCTACTTGGTCCGACCTTTTTGCTATCCCCCGGATTTCCCATGGCTTCTTTGCTTGGTGTTCGTAACTATGCGTAATCAGATAAGTTTATATGTAGACCACATACTATCTTACCGATTCACCGTTCATGCTAAGATCGGAGATATCCCCTAGTCCAGTGGTAGCTGCACTGCTGCAAATTTCAGCAGGTACGTTTTTATCGTTCTTGATGATGAAGGTTGACCTGAACAGTTTAAGGGAGCTCAACGCTTCAGCCCTATTAATCATCCACCCTTCTCGACAAGTCTCTAGTAGTATTTCCACAATCTCCATCATGTCAAGATGGCCCAGAAATGTTGATACTTCCTCATTATTTGAGCTGATTACCTCTGTTATTTCTTTCTACATGAATGGCTCGTATATTTCTTGGGATATTAAATCATTGAAAAACGCGAATTTCGCTGATTTCTTTTGAAGCCATGGCTTCAAGAGCTCGTCTAAGCTCAGCATGATAGCCTGATTAGCGTGGTGACTCATTTTATTGTGTTGGCCGAAAAGAATGTTGACAATAGAGTAGACAAGGAAGCACGTTGTGCTGGTTGTGCGAGGATAAGCCGGAATCTTCCTCAATGACTTCCAGACTTCAGTAAATTGACACAAGGCTAGAGCCTTGCCAGTAATGAAACGATATTGAGCTGCTAATGTGCGTGACTAGAATTTGTCGATAGCGAACTAATCGTATAATGTTAAGTCGGAATATATCGTTCCCATTTTTATGATTTGCAACTGTGACTGAACTTTGAATGGGAGACATGATATTCATGGCCTATAGGCACGTCTAAGCTTGCTTCTATGGTTTTCGAATAGACATCAATAAATTTACACTTCTGATAGCATAGCAAGTTGGGAGACAAAGCTGGGCTCGTTTTCAATATATAAACACTTTCATATGCAACTCGTCGCCACACATGGCAGACAGACTAATCGTTCATATTTCGTTTCGCCGTTATCAACTCAACAAGTAGATTGCTCCTGAACTATTGAGCTTTGGATTGAATAGTACTGAGGATTCTTTTTGCAATCTCATGATGTTATGCTGGTCGAGGATTGAGAGAAGAAATTACTGGTCCACACAAAGATTGATCAGTGGAAATCACCTAAGGAGCACTTGGAGTGCGCGCAGAAAATAGGGATGTACGCTCGAACTTTTTATTCGTGCTCTGTAAACATATTGCAAAGTAAATCGACGACACCTTTGATGGACCATTGGGTATAACTAAACATAAACACAGGCACAAATACGATTAGCCTCGACCACAAATACTCAGAAGACGCGCATGTTCTCTAAAACCGGTGTTAGATGTCGTTGGGAAAATGATTATTAGTCAGCAACTCGCTACATCGGCTAATATTCGGACTGGGGCTCTAATAGTGGGGCTTCGCAATAAAGCGACATTAGACGACTCGTTAGATTTGATTTCGTTTGACTCCATTCAATTTTATTCTTTACCTCGATACAGCAAAGTCCAAAGAAGAAAAGATCTGAGAGACTTAGTTGAAGTAGTAGGCTCGGAGTGGAATATCACAATCTAATACTTATTTGCATCAGAAATCACGATGATAATGAGTGTAGAATTGTTATTAAATCTGGTTAAGTATAGTGCGTGTTGTAATAAATGATATGTATATTGAGCTGGGCTGTATCAATTGCTTTGATTAAACAATATAAATAACGCTCTTAGAATGCTTTCTGTATCGATTGCAGAACTGGAGTTGTTTCACCAGCACTTTTCTCTTCATACATGCATTTAATCTTCCTCCGGAAGATGAACGTTTATCGTTTTGACTGAGACTATTACCAGAGGATGAAATAGATCACTTAGAATGCACGTTTTCAATATATTTAATTGGGTAAATAAGCATCAAAATCGATGTGCTGATAAATAAGCTATTCCACAGCTTGACATGACAGAAAACGTATCTATCATATCAAATAACTAATTCACATGCAGAGAATACTCAAGTAACCTCCCTTTTCGGCCAGCCGAAACGCATTGTTCCCATATCAAGAACCATGCACATCCTGAAGCTCACTCTCCACTTCATCCGCAAACTGCTCATCAATAACCTCCAGCCTGCGCATCTTCCGCTCAATCACATCATCAAGCTTAACTCTCTCTGCTCCAATCGCATGAACCTGAATCTCATTCTTCATGTCAAGTTCTTCTTTCTCAAACATTGACCTCAATCTATCCGATGCAACCTTCACATCCTCATTCAAAGCAATCTCCCTCGCAAGTCGACTGCGGAACTTCTCTAGCATCGACAAGCTCTCTGTTCCTCCTACCATTCTGGTAAGACGGATCGCATCTTGTAACATGAGCTCGACGATGCTGATAGTTATACCGATGCAAAGACCGCGACGAAAGACACAGTGTCTAATCTGTCGCACTTTCTTGAGAAGTGTGAGGAAGGTTTCTGCAGTTTCTCCGTCAACGAGTTGGAGAGTGTTATTTTTGATCTCAGCTGAAGATTCGAACATCTCATGGTATAGCTCCAAAGAACCTTTTCTGCAATCACCCCATCCTTCCTTGGCCACCAAATCAGGATGATATTTTCGCAACCAAGAAATGCATGAGGTTGTAAGAATATCTTTCGTCTCCGTAAGTATTAATTGCTCTAGTCCGAGATTTTCCATGGCGGTCTTATCATTGACAGGGATGTTGTAGTCGCGGAGGTTACAATTCTTGATCTGTAGAGGAGGGTATGGTGCATCGGAATCCCATTCAGAATTAGAAGTCCAGTCGGAATTGGATTCATCTATGTTTAGTTAGCAATGTTACGCCACTGTGAAATAAAACTCATGTTAGAGATGGACTATATACTTGCTGCATCTTGCTCTGCGCTTTCGCGACCTGGAGCTGCCCAAAATCCATACGCACGCTGGACTCCATACATTCTTCGATCACGATTGAAAATCCTTGACGATGCTTTCGTTCTCTCTTTTTCTTGGCTGGTTTATTTTCAGTCGGGTTGTTGACCTTTGCTTCTTCGCCCATCATTACTGACGGTCCGGATGATGTTTGGTCGAGGTTGGTGTCTTTGACTTGACTGCCATCAGCTTATGGCTCCTTGGGTGAAGATGATCTTTCACCGTGAGAAGACATCTTGAATGTTTGGTGGAATGTACTGTGTCTAAAGGTTCTGAGAGAAAACGTGTTTGTGGTGTGATTATCGAGGGTTCGTAGAAGCTTATGGCATGTACGATAGAGCAGCTAGGGCTTGGTCCTTGTTTGAATCTTTGCCTTTCTTGAATTTTAGACAGTGAATAAGAGGAGGTTGTGTGACTTCAAGAGGGTGTTCTAACAGAACGCAGTGACTTCTCTGTTTAGTGAATACCTTCCAGTTGATACCTGTATTTTCCACTTCCTTCCCCAGGCAAAAGCTTCAAAGTTGATCTGTCATCCTTTGCGAAAGGTCAGCAAGGATGATGAGATCATGACACCAATCTATGTAAAAATGCATATTTACAGTGGAAAAATGAGTAGAAATCCAGCCCTCTTCAATAGATATTCCCCCACCACTCCACTCAGCGAACACAACCCTTTTATACCACATAGATAAAGCTTTTAATCTCATCATAAGAACGCATCAAACATTGAAGTAAAAATTTAAAGTAATGGGTATTAATTTTTTTTTCATTAAAATCTTTATTTCATCACCTGCTTGCTTCTCACTCTCCTACGCCAATTTTGACCTCGCTAGCACTGTGGCATCCTCCAAGATAGTTCCAAGAAAGCCCTCCTCTCTTTCTATTCCTTTCTTCTCCTATCTCTCCTCTCTCTCATCTCCTCTTAGTTATTAAAATCGGCGTCAATCCCACGAACATGTAGTCTTTCAGCCACCTTCTCGCCTTCACTCTGTACACCATTGTGCCGCCCATTCGGCTTCACAACTTCCCAGCTTCACCACTTCCTCTTCTGCTTAACGCTCCTGTTCTCTTCCAAGTCTACGCCCAGACACACAAGCACCCAAAGATCGCCTAAAAAGGGAATAGAAAAGACCAGAAAACCTCTCTTAGAGATCGGATTTGGTCAGAGAACACGACCACGAATTCCCCAATCAAGCCCATCTCTCGAAATAGGAGTTTGAAAAAGAAAGGAAAATAAAAGAGACATTACATTCATACAAGTCATAAAGAAATCGTATTCAACGAACGAGTTCTCGAAGAAAAATATTCGATTTTATGTACAAATTTCTCGTTATCCACTCACACTATCTCCGCATTTTGGGTATCCATAAAAGCAGAGCAGTTACTAATCGCTACAATTGATATACAAAACTTCGTTGCTTTCCTGCTAATCCCCTACCCTGTCACTCCCAGAGTCACTACCTTCGTACTTTGAATCTGATCGTTCAACCAGCTAAGCACAGTCATTTTGTGACCGTGTTCTTTTGGCCCACTGTTCCATTACCCAGATCTACTTTGAATTCCACCAAATTAACAGTATTACCGCCCCCCATCGAGACATTCATTGCAGATAAGTTCTCGGAGCTTTGTTGATTAAAAAACTTTTGCAATTCTCCTTGCGCGGATACTGCATTGTCCAAGTTTTCTTGCTGCAAAACAAAAAGGACTGTGACTCTTGCAAAATCTAACACCTCCTCTGTGATAGTAAAGGCGGCTGTAGGGTCAATAGTGGAGGTCGTCAAAGTTGCAGATGCAGTTCCTGTTGTGGTTGGAGAGGAAGTTGTAGAAGGTGAATCAGCAGAGGTCGATGCTGCTGAGACAGTTTGAGTGGCCTGAGACTGAGAGGAAGTAGGTGTTGCCTGAGTAGTGGAAGAGTCTACTGAGATGATATTTGTTGATATGAAAGTTGAGTCTGGGCTTGCAATTGCTCGCATCTCAACATCTGTGGGGTCCGACTGCACGTCCTTCTTCACCTTTTTATCCGTGGTAGACGTCGCTTTAGCACTAGCATCTCCCATTCTTTCATCACTTCCGTCAAAAGTGACTAGGGAATTTTCCGACGCACAGCTCAAATTTGCTTTATTGAATCTTGCTAGAATTGTGTTTTCAAATAAGGGGATCGAAAAGTTGGTTTGAGCAGCCGAAATGAGTCGGGGTATCGAGTCGCCAATGGTAGTGTTTGCAGTAGTGCTTGATGACGTTGTTGTGCAGCCCGAAGATCCCGAGACTGCGCAAGTACTACCTGTAAATCCGTTTATGCATAAACAAGTACAGATACCATTGTCGACGAAAGAGGTTCCACCGTTCTTACAGGCAGTCGAAGTGTTTGCAGTGCAGCTTTGTACAGTAGTTGCGGTTGCGGTGGTACTTGTGGAGGGTTTGTCAATTACGAGAAATTTAAGAGGTACGACGACGGCGGCCGCAATTATTATGAGTAGAATTATTACAACGACAATGAACCCCCAGCAAGGTAGACCACAACACTTTCTTTGTTTCTTTCCAGGTGCGTCAGATTTTGGATCATTTGGATCGTATTCTGGCCACATCGATAAAGGTCGTGGAGCATCGCGGGCAGGCGTTTCACGACCGGGAGGTGGAAAAGCTGATAACATTCCGGAGAGGGTAGAACCTCGTCTGTCATAGTTTGGAGAAACTGAGATGTATTAGAGTTTGGATTGTAATAGAGACATGATCACCACTTACGTTCAATTTCTTTCTCGCTGGGAAAGTCTCTGTCACTTGGATAATCATCAAGACCCATTCGGCTTCCTGGTCTTTTACCGCGATCCATCATCGACGCTAATCTTGTTGCTCTCCTAATTAGATCCGGTAAACTTGTCAAACTACCTCTTGCCTCTGCCTCCCTTACCGCATCAACATTGAGACGTGGTGGCCGACGGATTGCTGATAGCCTACTAAAAGGTCCTCCCTCGTTTGCAAAGGGCGACTTAGTCCTAATCGTGTCGCTAGGTAATGCACTTGCTGCTTGATATGCCCTGAGCATAGCGCTTGCACCCGGGCTCTTTGTTCCATCTCGTGAAGGTAGATCAGTAGTTACGGCCATAGCGACGGTCGGAACCGATTCGTCAGAGCTTGTTGGGGTAGGGTCAATAAGGCCAGTGCCACCAGCTAAAGGTGAATCTGGATTTCCTGGCATTGGCCATTGTGTTGATCTTTGAGCTTCTGCGGGACTGAGCGTTGGTCTTTGTATTGGTGTTGGGCCCAGTCTCTTGTTTTCGGATGGCGGCATAGGCATTGCAGCAAGCCGTGCTGGATCGATCTGACCTGAGGACCGGGTCACGATCATGGACGGTCTCGCTCGCTTGCCAATACTAGCACTTCTGATCAATCCTCGATCGTCGTTGTCATCCGATCCTCGAGATTCCCGACCTTCTGATACTGCATCGAACCTTCTGTCATCTTCATAATCATCATCATCATCCTCATCCGATCGATAATAACCAGGCGATTCAGGTCCCCAACTCGAGGGTATAGCTGCGCTTGATGCATATGAACTATGTGAACCTGGAAGTGTTCGTGGACTGAGGCCCATGCCCTCTGATACCTCTGGAATTGGGGACACGAAAGAAACTTGGGAATAATATGACGAGGCGCCTCTTCGGGAAGTTGGTGGTGGTCCTAGATTAGCACTTCTCCTTACTGATGGTGGGATGGCTGGAACGGGAACAGGGAAGTCGGGTATTGTACCAACTGATGAAACTGTCGAAGGACGTGACGATGACAGAGGCGATTGTAATAATTGGTAGTTTTGATCAAATTCATCGTCTCGATTTCGTGGCGGGCCACGCGTTTGCTGTGGCGGGTATGAATTTTGTGGTTGGTATTGAAAGGTTGGGGTAATATCTTGTATTCTGGACGAGTCAAGGATCGAAGGTACGTGACTAGGTCTTGGTGGTCTCTGAGGAGGTGGGCCGCGATTAGGAGGAGGTTGATACTGCTGAATATCTGGACCAGGATTTGTTCCCATTAATGGCCATTGTGGTACTTGAGTAGGTCGAGAAATCGCCAGACCAAATGCACTTTGACCACCGTTCTTCGACATTCCTGGTGGATTTTGAAATTTTGCTCTTGGAGGACTTGGAATATTGCTCGGTGATGAAGGATCATAGGGTCTTGGTGCAGGTATCGATTCGGTAGGCCTGCCTGCTGCCGCTCTTTCTCTTGCCCTCTTCACCGATCCACCCCTTGTCGGCGCATCCCATTGTTGTTGACTCATCTGATAGAGATATTAAACCGTTCGTACCACCAACAGTGAAATGATATTGGGGTATCCGCAAATTCGGGCCAATATCCAATCACTCGGGTTCTTCCGTGTATTTATTTCGTTCGTATCTGCATGAAGCCGTTCCGTTGAGGTTGTTATTTTCGCACTTGAATAGGTTTCTTTTTCCACCACCTTGCAAATGACCAATGGCTTTTCCTAGGATATGCAGCGCCACAATAAAACTTTCAGCCGGCGATTGAGTTTGCGAACCGATTTTGTTTTGTTTTTTCTTCTTTTTTTCTTTTTGAGAGATGCTGAGGGCGAATCTTGATGTTAGAAGAATACAAAATTGCTAAAGAGTGTAATTTCGGTTCACTGGGAACCGTTAATGAGAATAAAGAAGGATCGAATATCTATTGGACCGATGTATACTTTCGCATATCCAAGCTCGAAGGTGATTCGTATGTAGTGAATGAAAAAGCCAATCAAGGCAATCTATGAAGTTGAATGAGCACTGTGGCAATCTTAAAGAGTGTAAACTACTCAAGCACAATCAATTAGTAACTATCGCCAGCGACAAATGACCTGCGCGCAATGAAAGCAAGAGAGCACAATACAATCAGGGGCAAAAGATTGACTGGAGACGAAGAGGGGCCATAGGGCAAGATACTAGATGGTCTCGGTATCAACTCTCAAGGGCTTTTGGCTAGAAAGAAACTTCAAATAGATAGTGTGCCTCAGTGATCAATTGAGAAAGGTTATAACAGTATGAGATACGAGAATGATCCCATGCAACGAGGTCGTCACAACTAAACCCAGAGCCCGAAAACTCCTCACAATGGCACACTACGGGTATTCATCGAATATGTTGAAATTGTTCACATACATTTGGTGTTTCGCAAGCCTGCGTGGATCCTTGAAATGGTATGAAGTCTTCCCTGAATTATTCCTTCTTCACTCCCAATATCCCCGATAGCTTCCTGAAGCCGAAGAGAAAATGTATAAATCCCTTCGCCGACCTCAAACGTTCTGATCTTCAAACCTGCTTATTGTGGGAGAAGCCAGTCTCTCTAGGTACAGGATGAAAGATTGGGTGCCAGTATTTATTTTGACGAGGGAAATTTGACAGTATGTGGAAGGAAGCTTTCGAAGCTTTTAGGTGTAGGTAGGTATTCTTTGGTCGTTTCAGATTCGAGATCCTATCGCCAGCCTATTGTATCCAAACAAAAAAAAAAGAAGATGAGCTTCGAGCCCTTCGGTCGACCAAGCAATGCTGAAGCGCAAGGCTTGGGTTATGAATTCAAAGAAAGTTATCGACAATGAAATGAAGCCACAGGAAATCGAATTGAGTCGGGTTCGAGTTCGAGCTCGAAATCGAAATCGAGAAAGACGTTGAGAAAGCAAGTTGTGATTTGGGAAACACTTCGACAAATAGGAAGGATGGATCTACGATATTCTTCTCGAATCGCACCAATTTGTTCGCACCGGTCAGCAAAGCAAATGGTCTGATCAATATCTACTCCCCTGATGAGAACCTAGCAATTAACAAATTTGGGGGACTCTTCCTAAAGGTACATGCTATAGTTTCTTCGTATAAATGAGGGGAATGGGGGCACGCAGTACATAGACGAAGTACTTGCAATGGACAGCAGCGCAGAGAAAACAGTGCCGTGCAGGGTAGACATTCAAAGTACTTTATTCGACCCTTCAATGAGATGATTTGACTGGCTGACGGGGCATGAATCTTGCAGAGAGGCCTTCAATCTGGACGAAGTTTCTATACCTTGCTCCCCGAATTATCCATGACCCATACCATTTGATCCTTGGATAAGGGCTATGTCTCTCGCCATACAAAATCCATTCCCCTGCTTATGCAAGGTGATGGAAAAGACATTGGAGAGGAAATAACAATACTCCGTAGAGTTGAAAACGGAAAGGTTCCAGTTGCAAGGGACCGTGGCTTATTGATCAGATCGGAATTCCTGGAACGGTTTTTTTTTGTTTGGTTTACGATGTACATACAGGTCGTCAAAGAGGTCTCGAGAGTTTTCTGCGGGTCACCACATTTGCAGGGACCAAAAGAAATGTCGTAGATTTAGTCTTTGTATCTCGATTTCATTGGTGGGTTAGAGGCTAAGTCGACGCCATACCTAAGTATATTTTGAGGTCTTATTAGTTGATTTAGATGGTTTAACTTGGCTGTTTTCGTTGATCAGTTGTTCTAGAAGAGGGTGAAGTGTCAAAGCAGCAGTATTTCCTTTTATTCGTTACGGTGCTTGCCTCGGACCAACCACCAATTGACTACCTGATAGAATGTAATATTCGTGGCCGCTCTTACTATTCGTCTTACACTGTTACACTTTCCTTATCATGATGCATTATCTTAGTTACCAACCTATTTCGATACCAAACACCAAAGCACTCCAGCTCCTGCCATCTCCTTTTTAGCCTGTGAGTAACGGCCGCACAGGAAACGGGCCAATCCAGGAACAAGCAACACAACACAACACGACAGAGACAGATGCGAATAGAACAATCAACTCTTGAAGGACAGCTACTAACTACTGGTACTCATAGACACTCACACTCACTACGAGTACATATACTCAAAAAGCTTCAACCGGAATACTACGCATGCGAATCACACGCTATAATCCTCTACTACTCTCCATCAGCGAAACGCCGGAAGCTTTTCAATAAATTCGGTATTTTCAAATTAGACATCTTCCTTCCACTCTTCCACTTTCTACATAGTAACCTCGTAGGTAATTGTCCTATTCTATCTCACACAATCACAATCATAATCCCTGCTGCCCTCGTGGTTTCCCATCCAAGACTCTAGTCCGAGCAATCTCATTCCACCGTTTCAGATTAAATAGATTCTCGACTCGCTTCGCTAGAGGATCAAGGATTACGGTACAAGGGCCAAAAACCTGTTGAAACCCATCTTTGAATCTTTTGCAGAGTTCAAGAACAAATCAAATGTGTTCATTTTGCTTCAAGAGGCTTTGAAATTCCGCCCCCAGTCTGATTAGGCAGGCAATTTTCTTCGTACGAAAGAATCCTTCCTTCTTGCTACTTCCAGTTCGATCTTTTCCCTTCGCACTTTTCGTATTCGCTCTAATACCATTTTCATCTCATGTATCATCAGCTCAGGAGGTTGGGAATCTTATGTCAGCTCGAGTCTCGAGATTTCGCCTTGCATTGGCGAATTGCGTGCAGCAAAGACATCTAGAAAAATCTGCAGGTACACACATCTCGCATCTTACTTAAACTCGAGAGGGAAAAGAAAAGGTACAGTCCACAGGGAGCATGTGCAAGCAAGATAATCGGATTTTCATCACACCGTCTTTCCGCAGGTGACAAGTAACAAAATTCGAAGACGTGAGGAGAGGTAATACGAGATCGCGTTCCTTTCTCCTTTTTCTCACAAAAAAATCTCCGCGCTCGCCGCCATCAGATTTTATCACAGTCGTATTTCAACGTTCTTTTTCAACTTGCGCAACGATCATCCTAATTATAACGCAAACGCAGATCCTCCATTTCCTCACGTGCAGTATACCAAGAAGTTTAATATGGCGTTAGTGTCGATATCAAGCGCCCCTAAGAGTCTAAGACATCTCCTGGCGATAAGCGGAAATGAACTATGGGGTCTGTATACTATATTTAATTTGGCTTTCAATCTACGGACTATGCATAATAAAGTTCAATATTGTTTACGCGGTTTTCAATTTATTGAACAATCGGCCAGATTCAACTAATCGAGTCTTGATATCGTCATGGTGGAGTTGTGTTTGCGCAAGGCGGGTGCGAACCGATGGAGGAGAGGAACGGAGAAAGCTTCACTAGTTTTGTGGAACTTGTGAATTGCATATTTTTCATCTTTCATCCTGAGTTCGAGAGTGGATACGCCTTCGGATTCGTTTTCTTGATTTTGCTGTTCATTGTTCATTGTTCATTGTTCATTCTTCTCAAGCACATTTCTACGAAAACTTCTTCCCTTCCTTCCCGAAATTGCATGCCAGCATGTCGGTCCTGCAAATTTGCAAAGTAGCACTTCTCCGCATTCGCTCCAGAGGTTCTTTCCTTCTAGCCCTCTCATCCTTTCAAGAAAGAGATTAACACTATGTCGGCTTAACGATCCCGGGTGTCGTGACTCCAGAGATCCGTTTTTTCTTTCTTATGCAGTGGAAAGTTGTTGCCAGCGCAGTGAACGATCGTTTGCTTCCTCAATTTCGGAAGTTGTTCGAAATTCATGCTGTAGAGTTTTACCAGTGTCCTACGAAGTACATACCACGCTGCGGTGAAACCTAGGACTTGATCCTTTGAATCTGCTTTCAATGCAGGTACCGTGTTCACCTTAACATTCCCGCCGGCATGTATGTATGTCTCGTCTCGTCTTTACTCGTGTGTTTGTGACACTTACATTTTGAGCCTCTCGATTATCATCGCAGTGAGACGTCTGGTAATACCAATCACGCTTGTCGTAGTATCGTATCTAAGTGTTACGGTTGTCAAATTATCTTCTGTCACTCATCATACGTGGAACATGGCGTTCCAAACATTAGATACTGTACAGGCTTTCTAGTTCTCGCGATAATTTTTACTGTCCGTGGGCCATGGATCTCTGCGATCCAGGGTTCAAAACATGATTTGATACTCAAATCTATGTTGGCGGGACAAAGCTGACTACTCGGTTGTTATACGACCTTCATATGACTAAGGGCTTATACAATCTGATCTTTATTGGAGTTTAAATAGAATCAACCATGGAATTCAAGAACTTGTAGGTATTCCTAGTATCATATCATATGTTGATACTTAGGAATTGATATAACAAATGAATAACCTAAATCTGCTCGAATGATAGATCTGACCTCACTCTATTATGATCCATTTCACTGTTCCTGTGAGCAAATTTTATCTCTTCAAAAGCAATATAAATGGGTGCCATGGCTATCCTCATACAGTAATATTCTACCTGTGTCGCCGTCGATACTTTGAGCACCTTATCAATTCCTACCTTTCTACACTCTCCTGGTTATTTTCTCTTTTCATACACCCAAAATCACAACGGATACAAGAAAGCTCAAACACCGTTACTAATTGTTCTCCCGCAATCCTTCTTTCGTCGGCCTCAATAAATCACAGAGCACCATCGAATCACCCCCTACGACATCGGCGGAATAAAAATATCCCGTCTTGACTTCCCATCTTAGTTTTCCATCCTAGTATTAAATAACAAGCAAAGTTGACAATTGTGAATCCTCAGTAGCGGGAGTGAGATCAGCTGGGCTATTTCCACCTACTAGTGAACACTTTTAGTATCTATTCTATACATTTTTTGGGCATTATCATCCTAGTCTAGATTAGAGAAAGTTTTCAGAGACTCTTCTGAAGTTTCTTAACGCTCAAGAGTAATTAGTAATTAGTATTTAGTCCTAGTCCTTGAATGAGCACATCTAACGATCAAGAGAATTCAATTGGAGGGGATAGAGGAGATCTTATAAAGACTGAAGATGAAGAATAGTGCTGGAAAATTATTTATTCTGCTACATTCATCTCCTATTTGAAGAGAAAAAGCACGGGTGATTTTATAACAATATCTTTGGACAATATCTCTAAGGTGGAGACGTGTCAAAAAGTTTTCTCCTTGGAAAGAAGTGAAATAACCTTTTTAACTTTCACGATCTAAACCCTCCTTTCTCGTCTTTTTAGCGGAACTAGTGGAGGGTATGTAGGGCATACTCGAATTCGTTTCATATATCAGTTTGTTAAAACAAAGTTGCTCGGGAAAACTATTTTTATTCTTCAAGAAGCATTGCGCATTTCTTGCTTTGTGGTACCCAAAAAGAGAACTGTATGGCCGAGTGCACTCGACTGCCTCTTTCGCGTCAAAATCTCTGATACCTGGCTAGACTGTCATCATAAAGCTGTCGTAGTGGCTTTTTCTTTGCATTAGCTGATGTGCTCTAAGTGATCAACTAGATGTACACTTCGTGCCTCTTTGGCATGTATATCCCTTCTCATAATCTGGAGATGACTTCTTGGCTTTCTGATTGAACAAGATCTCGTATTACCTTATATGTATTTACAATAATTTTTGCGGCACCCTAAGATGGTTTCTCGTATTTCGGCAGTTTTGAAGTACAAAGCAACGGATTTTTGATCCGCCATTGAAGCCGTTTCTCAGCACTGCCAATTGGGTTCATATGTCAGCGCATTGTGTTTCCGCCACGCTCAAATTATCAACCTGGCGGACATGGAAATGGACAATGTACTTGACGAAGAACATACTTTTCAGATGGTGCATTGAAGGCCAAATAAAAAATTAAAAGAACGGATTAGTAGCCAGAAGTAACGGTTCAGAGAAATCACGTCCAAGGGCTTCAAGGGAGGGCTTGATTGCAGGCAAAGTTTGTAAACTCAACCTCGAGAAATTCCAGTCTCGGCTTTAGAAAATGGGGAGACTCAGCAAGGACTGAGTGATCAAGCAAAAGCGCTTTTGCGCAAGATGAAGTGGCCTTTAAAGCAATAGGATATTCAAAGACTGGTGGATAACATGAGAAATTTGAATGCACGAATTGAGAAAGCCCAAATCATAGATACAACGTCAATTTCAGTGTGGTGCAAAATATACATGTGTAGAACTAATAGCTTTGGTCCGATGGGATGAGA